CTCCCTTGTTCCTACTCTCTGGCAGAAAGCTCAGATGTCCATGGTGGGTTTATAGTTTCTGGCCCTTTGCCAGGAAGCAAAGGAATCATCAGAGCTATTCCATTAATAGAGTGGAATATTATATCTATGCTATATTTGCTATTTCTTAAATATTAAACATGTAAAAGTTAATGTATGATCCAAGTATAGAGTAAGGGCTGTGAACATACCCAAGATAGGTATTTTTTTTGCAACTATTAATATTTCATATCTACCCTTATTTATTTTTTTTTTTCTCGAGATGGAATTGCCCAGGCTCAAGTGCAGTGGCGTGATCTCAGCTCACTGCAAGCTCCGCCTCCCGCATATCTACCCATTTTTAATGCAGATTTGGGTTTCAGTGCAGGTATGGGTTCTTTGGGCTCTGTCTTTCAGAGCTCTGTTAGGAAGCTTTTTCATCACATAGACCAGCATGGAAGCTTTGTATTCAGTCCTTTGAAGTTTGTACAAAGCACTTTGATCTTTGTTTCTGTATCTGTTTTTTGGAGGGATTATTAATTTGATTCTAACGAATTCCATTTTATTGCAATTTAAGGATAACAGCTTAGTTAGAAGCATAATTATGAGTATCAATACAATTTGAGTCAAAATTGGACATATTTTAAGTAGGTTAATGCAATTTAATTGTTCTCTGACATCGTATGAGTATTTATTGTCCCCTGAGCTTTTATCATTTCAGGCTTTTTCTTGCTAATTTACATTTCTATAGGTTAAATAAACTATTTAACCAGAGTTTGAGAGCATCTGTGTGCCATGTACTGTGCAAGGCATTTTTAATCAAATATTTTTATGTGCTTGCCAAGCGGTAGACCCTGTCTTAAGGCAGTTGGAATATGGCAGTGAACAAAATCACAAAAGTTTTTGGATTCAGGTAGAGGAGAGAACAAAATGCATAGAGTAGACGGTTATAAATACAAAAATAAAGCACGGATGAGAGATTGGGTATGTCAGGTGGGCTAGTTGCAATTCTAAATATTGGGGCCTAGTGATGGGCCTTGCCGTCACATAGCTTCCAGCCTTGTAATAATTGTTGTTCTTTGATCATAGTGTAGAGTAAGGGCTATCAACACACCTAAGATAGGTATTTTTTGAAACTATTAATATTTCATCTGTACCCATTTTTATTGTAGATTTGGGTTTCAATGCAGGTATGGGTTCTTCTGTCTCTCCCCTCCCCCTCTGCCCCCTCTCTCTTCTCTTCCTGTTTTTGAGACAGGGTCTCACTTTGTCGCCCAGGCTGGAGTGCAGTAGTGCGGTCATAGGTCACTGCAGCCTTGAATTCCTGGGTTCAAGAGATCCTTCTGTCCTCAGCCTCCCAAGTAGCTGGAACTATAGGCATGTGCTACTGTGCCTAGCTAATTTTTACATTGTTTAAGAGACAGGGTCTTGCTATGTTTTCCAGGCTGTTAATTTTAAGCTCCTGGACTCAAGTGATCCTCCCATCTAGGTGTTTCAAAGTGTTGGGATTACAGAAATGAGCCACTGTGCCTGGCTTGTTTCTTGATGAACACTTCACCATTAGAAGGAAATATCCTTCTAATCTACTGAAACAGAGCACATTATCCCTGCTTTGTCCAGAAGGAAACCAAAGCTTTGAGAGTCAAGTAAATTGCTGAATGAACATGGTGAGACCCAGATCTGACTCTAAAGCCCATGCACTTGAAGATGGTATCAGACCATGTCAACTTTGGACATATTTGTTATAGAAGAATTATCCAACTTTGGAGCTAAGGCTGTCTTATATTTCATTCTGAGGTGTTGTGCAGTAAGTTGGCTGGTTCATGGAGTGTGTGTGTTACCCGCGTTACTGTGAACTTCCCCTTCACCGTTGCAGTAGTTCTATTTTAAAGGACTTTGGGTTATGCCCTGTGGCCACATGACAGGCAAAGGAGCTGCTTGGTTACCGACTTCCATGCAGTGGGTTACATTTGTATGTGACAGAGTAAACTCTGTTTACTCCAGCAAATCATTGACTACTTGAATTCCTGGCATTGCATTTCAGAGATAGGACACTAATTTGGCTGGTCCATGTATCATGTCCAAGAGCATGTTATAAATGCTTATATTTAGAAGGGAATGTAAAGTGAGTAAAAGGTAATAATGGAAAGGTCACTGCTTATTGTGTTTATCACAGAATAGGACATCACTTGTATTTCCAATGATTGTTTTATCATGATAAAAAGTGAAAAGCAAATGAGTGTGTTGGATTAGAAACCTTTATGAGGACTGTGGAAATGAGGTCTGGGGTTCAAGAGAGCTCTGTTTTTCCTTCTGCCTTGAGTGTGCTTATGATCAAAGTGGGAGGATGTTCAGCCCAGTGCATTCTTTGTCTTGGGCATTGATGGTTCTTTTGTGCTTTGGCTAATTTAATGTTTGACATGTGTATATTGGTTATTAGTCTAAAAAAGGGGCTATATATTTGCAACTCTGCTATTTTTTGTTGTCAGTTTCTAGTGACTTTCCCCACTTACTACTTCTAAGTTAAAGTGCTGGGTTGTTTGTTTGCTTGTTTGTTTGAGATGGAGTCTTGCTCTTGTCGCCCAGGCTGGAATGCAGTGGCGCAATCTCAGCTCACTGCAACCTCTGCCTGCTGAGTTCAAGCTGTTTTCCTGCCTCAGCCTCCTGAGTAGCTGGGATTACAGGCACCGACCACCATGCCTGGCTAATTTTTGTCCTTTTAGTAGAGGCAGGGTTTCCCCGTGTTGGCCAGGCTGGTCTCGAACTCCTGACCTCAGGGGATGTGCCTGCCTCAGCCTCCCAAAGTGCTGGGATTACAGGCATGAGCCACTGCACCCAGCCATTGCTGTGGATTTTTATAAGATAATTTTCTTTTTACTCAAGAGATAAGCTATGGTTTGAGCACATGGGCTGTGGAATTTATTCTACTTGTTTACTTTTTTGAAGGATAATATACAGAAAAGTATACATATTATAAATGTACAATGTAAATACTTTTTGGAAACTGAGCACACCTAGGTAGCCAGCTTCCAGATCGAAGCATAAACAGTTGGCATCCTAGTGCCCCATCCCCTTCTAATCTCTTCTGTCATTCTCTTCCCACAAGGGTTACCACTGCCCTGACTTCTAACAGCATTTTTTTGTTCAGCCTGTCTTTGTACTTTATATGAATAGAATAATACAACCTGAACTCTTTTGCATTTGGCTTCTTTTTCTTTCCATTATTTGAGAGGTTGAACTTGTGGTTGAATGTAGTTGAAGGTTATTTTCAGTGCCATATGATATTTCATTATGTGGATATGCCATAATTTACCTATTATGTTAAAGACATCAACCCTGCTTCTAGTTTTTGTTGTGATGAATAGTACTGTGATAAACATTCTTGTATTTAACTTTTTGTTAACATATGTAAGCGTTTATGTTGGATGTATACCTAGGAATGGAATTATTAGGTTGTATAATATCAACGTATTTAGCTTGAATACATATTACCAAGTGACTTAAGAGTTTAAGTAGTTGTACCAATTTACATTTCCATCAGTAGTGTGAGAGTTCATGAATTTCATTGTTGAGATGTTGTTTTGGGAGGTGGGTGAGAGGTGCATGCTATTCTTAGGTTCATTTCAGTTCATGTTTGTTTTCTGAAAAGGAATGGTCTTAGTTGCCTTGTTGATTCTTTGAAAGTTAAGTTAAAAATTTGTCTCTGTGTACTCACATTCTCCGTTTATTTTTTCTTTGTATATATGAATATATATGTGTTTTATGTTGATGTCTTCTACATGCATATATAGATGTGTGTATATTTTATCTTGAAATATACTACTGTACTGTTAGACTGGACAGGCCACTTAGAAGCTTTCTCACTCAGGCTTCTACAAGTCTCTGAATTCACACCGATCCTGCTTAAGTGTCTCTAATAAGGGGAAGTGCTTTCTTTTTAGGATGACCCATCCCTTTGTGAAGAAGCATTTTGTTGCTTCTTCAACACTGTGGTGACATCTGCCTCTTTTTAACTTCTCCCATAAGTATCATGCCCTTTCATATGTGAGCAAAAAACCCATGATTCTTATAATACAGTGAAGTTTCTTCAGGCAGAGGTTCATGGCTGTTTTTTAAACTGCCACTTTTCAACATTTGCAGGGTCAAAGTCTCTGAGCAGTTTGCTCTGGGGAACTTGGATGAAAAACCTTCTGGATGATGGCAAAAAAAAACAAAAACAAAAAACCTCAGTGCAAAGTCGCTTTTATTTTTCTTTGTGTGTGTATGTTTTTTGTTTGTTTGTTTGTTGTTGTTGTTGTTGTTTTGATATGGAGTCTTGCTCTGTCGCCCAGGCTGGAGTGCAGTGGCCCAATCTCGGCTCACTGCAAGCTCTGCCTCCTGGGTTCACACCATTCTCCTGCCTCAGCCTCCCGAGTAGCTGGGACTACAGGCGTCTGCCACCACGCCCAGCTAATTTTTTTTATTTTTAGTAGAGACGGGGTTTCACCGTGTTAGCCAGGATGGTCTCAATCTCCTGACCTCATGATCCACCCACCTCGGCCTCCCAAAGTGCTGGGATTACAGGTGTGAACCACCACACCCGGACTCTTTGTGTTTTTAAGGTTTTTTCCCCCCATTTCCCAGTTTTTCTTTCATGAACACACTGATCCCCCCTCATTGGGTTTAAACCTTGTTTAAGAAGGAAATACAAAAAATGCATATAACATATTTAAAAATTAGACTAAAACAAATAAAATGAAAAAATAGCACTGCTTTTTATAGAAAACTGACAATTATATTAATGAATATCAATGAATACAGAAAATCAATGCATTATACTTTTGTTGAATCAATGAATATGGAAAAATTCTTCTGATGGAGATAATATGAGCTCTAAGAGATCTGAACTTCCATGTGATATTAATATTCATAGAACTTTAGAATAAAAATGAGTTTTTTTCTAGCTATAATTAATAATTTAAGGTTCACGGATATTACCTAATAGATATTTTCTTTCTTTACAGGCAAGAAGAGACTGATAGGAGAGTGAAAAATGTAAGATACATTTACCTTAATGTAGCATTATAAGTGGTTTTCACTTCCATGTTCTGTAAGAGGGCAGTGAATCTAAAAGTATACTCTACATCTCTTTTCTAATTAAATTTTTGGTTACAAACCAATCAGTTACAAACAGTAGATATGTTTAAATATATGTATTACAATATATGGTTAGATTGTTCAGCTCCCACTTATAAGGGAGAACATGTGGTATTCTCCATTAGTTTGCTGAGGATAATGGCTTCCAGCTCTGACCATGTCCCTGCAAAGGACATGATCTTGTTTCCTTTAATGGCTGCATAGTATTCCAGAGCTGAACAATGAGAACTCATGGACACAGAGAGGGGAACAACACACATTAGGGCCTGTCGGGTGATGCGGGGAAGGAGAGCCTCAGGATAAATAGCTAATGCATGTGGGACTTAATAGCCAGGTGATGGGTTGATAGGGGCAGCAAACCACAATGGCACACGTTTACCTACGTAACAAACCTGCACATCCTGCACATGTATCCCAGAACTTAAAATAAAATAAAATTTAAAAACATTTGGTTAGAGTGGTATAAGAGGATAGGTTACATTTAGGAAGCTGTTTGTTATGTGTTAGTAATATGCTAAAGGCAAGTAAACATATTTTAAGATTTTTATGGGAGTAAATAGGAAACTACCAATTTAGACTTTAAGGAAAAGTACTGAATGTTTAAGGGCTCTGGGTAATTGATCAATGTAGACTCATACGTTTTACAATATTTTATGGGAATTGCAAGAATATCTAAAAATGTTGCAGTTTTATTAAAAAGTTTAACATCCTTATTAAGGAAGCTGAGAATTATTGATGTTTAGGTGATCATTCTGTAAGTTCAATGAAAAAATATTGATTGCTTTAAAAGTTTCATTTGTGTTTTCTCTTATTTTTTTCCTTCTTCATATATACTAGTAGAGTATATGCATGACTACCTTTTGAAGTCTGGACTTTGGTCTAAGAACTTGCTCAGAGACAGGAAAATTTAGCAAGAAAAATTAAGATTTTTAATGCCTTTTCCCTTTCCCATAAACTTAAAAGGAAGTCTACTTTTCACCCACAGAGTAATATGTGCTATCATTTATCTACAGTACTCACCTACATTTGAGCTTGCAGTTGGTTGCTAATCGACTGATCTTGTTATTCATGGATTTTTTTTTTTTTTTTTTTTTTTTAAGGTTTTGATAACATTGTACTGGCTGGGAAGAAAAGCACAAAGCAACCCATACTATAATGGTCCCCATCTTAATTTGAAAGCGTTTGAGAATCTTTTAGGACAAGCCCTGACGAAGGTAAGTGAACTACATCTGTGTGAGATTACTGCTGTAATACAGTATCACTACTTTCCCTTCCTCCTCTCTTCTTCTTTTCCTCCTCTATAACAAATATGGCAACTCTGACTCTCTTTGTCCCACTCTCGATTGGACTGAGTAAAGAGGAATGTTACTCATTTATTGGCTTTATATGCTGCCATCAAGGAGTGAGTTGGATCTAATCCAGAGCAATTTCCAAGGTAGAGAGACTTGCTTACCTTTTAATTCTATGTAATTTGATGACACATGCATTGGTTTCCTTCCTTACACACTTTATGTAGCTTAAGTATTTCTATACTCATTGTAAACTCAACCTGTAGTAGAGAGGTGCTTCCTGGACTGTTAACACGCATGGAATTTACTCAATTTCTTTGTAGTAGTGTGTTCTTATCATAAATGATGGTCTTTAATGCTCACACTTTCATATCCCCACAATTCTACCATGTTGCCTCTGTTTCCTAAAGAGTAGGACATGGTGTTAACTGGAACTTGATATAAGGTTTTTAAGTTAGAATCCTTTGTTTTATACACATTTCTACTCATTCATATTTTGGAATCAATGTGACAGCCTTTTGAATGCTTGAGGACTATTTGCAGAGAGCCAAGTGCCAGGACTGACCGTAGTTCTGCCAAATCTTCATTTATAAGATCCACATGGGAAAAATGAATTTCTCTGGGTAGGGGTATTTATTCAGGGAAATTTGTAGGACTCTGAAGAGCCCTTTTGTGTAGTCACAATGGTATTTCATCATCTAATTAGTATTCATTGCTTCATGGGTTTCTCTAATGGTTAAATGATACCACACCAGTAAGGCATTTAGCATTAGTCTGTAGCACATCGTAAGGTTGCAATAAATATTAGTTGCTGTGATTGAAAGAAATTTTAGGCCAGGATGAACATGATAACCTTGGCTTGCACCTACCCTGATCTTTAGGGGCCCAGCCACATGTATTATAGCAAGAGATGGGATTATAGAGCCTAGAAGATACAGGTATTCCTGTTCACCACCAAAATGTAAGGAGTCAATAACACTCTATTCAAATTCCTTGAATAAGTTAATTCAGGAAATAGCTGAGATATTAACATGCATACAGATTGTACTAAGTGTTGGGAAAACACTCATGAGAGATTACCTAACCTCATAAAGCACAATTGTCTAAGATAGGTGAGCATATTGGTCACTGCAATGAAGAATAGTGAGACTCTAATGGAGGAATTTCAGGGGGCTTTGAGCACGGGGAAATCCTTGCCTTACAGTTATTTCAGCTAATAACACTTTTGGTTAAAACCTATGTGGGATACTGGGCACAGTGGCTCAGCCTGTAATCCCAGCACTTTGGGAGGCTGAGGCGGGCGGATCACCCGAAGTTGGGAGTTCGAGACCAGCCTGACCAACATGGATAAACCCCATCTCTACTAAAAATACAAAAATAACTGGGCGTGGTGGCGCATGCCTGTAATCCCAGCTACTTGGGAGGCTGAGGCAGGAGAATCGCTTGAACCTGGGAGGCAGAGGTTTCAGTGAGCCAAGTGTGGGCAACAAGAGCAAAACTGTGTCTCAAAAAAAACAAAACAAAACAAAACAAAACAACCCATGTGGGACTTTGGCTTCTGTACTAGGATTCTCTTTACAGCCTTTGGTCCTTTTAATGACAGTCTGACTTAGGTTGAATCACCCTGGTACCGTGTCTATGCCAGCAATGCTTTATCAAAGACTGTTTCCTGTTACCAGTTTCAAAACCAGAGGAGGTAGATGAAGACCTTATGGTTTATAAAACTATGGTTGTAGTTCCATTCCATTATAATAAAGTAGGGGTAGCTGTTAGAGGCATGTGACTATATCATATGTTTTGTATCAGTTCTGTTAAAATCAAAACCAATGTGTTCATCAGGCATTTCCCATTTAACCGGATAATGCTTACAAACTTATATAAAATACCAGTTAAAAAATCATTGGTGGCAGTTGTAGCACCTCAGTCAGTCATCTTAGAAGTTGGAGGTGACTCATTTTAGTTGACTTGTCAGGGTGCCTCCTTAAAAGCCAGGCACCAGGGCCAAAGGTTATTTTATAACTGAAGTGACTGTCATCAATAACTTTAACATTTATGAGGTCAAACATCTATCTTGAGTGTTGAACTCTGAGGCCTTAACAACTAAGTGTCTAAGAAACCTGACAGATCTAAACACTTACATTTAAAAAAGTCTTTCTGTATTTTGAGAAGCATTTTGGCGGCACCAGCACTAGGCCTGGCTTCCCCATCTGCTTGGAAGTAGCAGGATGTAAGGTAGGCACTAGCATTTTCATGACAGGATGTCAGCTCTAATGCCAGGGTGTCGGCATCTAAAGCACATGAAATCCCCCTGAAATCTACTAGACCTTTTTAGTGCTCCAAACAGTTGTCAGACAATTGAATCATGAATTGATGGTATTAGATCAAAAGTATGCCTGAGACAGCTGCTAATTATTCACTGCAAACTCTTCAGCTTTTTCATATGTTGAAAATATTTATAATTAAAAATTGAAAGAAGAGTACAACAAATTCCCAGATGTGCACCATCTGGTTCAATTATTACAATTTTCCATACTGGCTTTATCTACATATGTGTTTATCCATCCATCTATGTTTTTACTTAACCATTTTAATATAAACTGCAGGTGAATTTCTCCCCAAATACTCAGTATGCATCTCCTAAGAATATGAATATTCTTCTATATAGCTACAATGTTTATTATATTTAAGAAAACTTAGATATTCCCCATTATCTAATGTTCAGTTGACATTAAAACTTTCATACTTGTCTCCAGCTACTTTTCATAGCACTTTTTATTTTGAATCATGACTTAATCAAGGTTCACATAATATGTTTGATTGTTAGTAATTACTAGGTTCTTTAAATTGTCTCTGTATTAGTAAGCTCATCTGAAAGTAACATTTCTGATTTTTACTATGACAAAATTATCTTCACCGTATAAAACATTGTAGTTACTAGATATTCATTGATTACTATAAGTCAGGACTACACCATGGGCTTTGTAAATTTTACTCACGTCCTAATGTTTAAAAAGCCAGGTTATATTTTGTCACTAACATTCACCGAAGAATGTTAGTTACAAGTGCTTATCTTGAGTAAGTTCTATATAATTCACAAACCTACAGTTAACATCATTTGTGATGTTTCTGTGTATCCTTTATATGAGCCAATAAAAAATTAATATTTTGGCCGGGCATGGTGGCTCAAGCCTGTAATCTCAGCACTTTGGGAGGCCAAGACGGGCAGATCACGAGGTCAGGAGATCGAGACCATCCTGGCTAACACGGTGAAACCCCGTCTCTACTAAAAAGTACAGAAAACTAGCCGGGCGAGGTGGCAGGTGCCTGTAGTCACAGCTACTCGGGAGGCTGAGGCGGGAGAATGGCCAAAACCCAGGAAGCGGAGCTTGCAGTGAGCTGAGATCCGGCCACTGCACTCCAGCCTGGGCGACAGAGCGAGACTCCATCTCAAAAAAAAAAAAACAAAAAAAAAATTAATATTTTATTTAGGTCCATAGAAAATAAGTTATATATGTCAGCAAACAAGTGTGCTTCTCTTAATTCAACAAGGAGGATAAGCCAGCTGCCAGGACCTTAGAACCAGGTTGTGTAATTAGTGAGAGTACATGAATTCTGTGAAATTTATGCCCACTTGCTCCTTTTTATTTTTCTGGGGGGAGGGTTAAATAAATTCAGTTGTTAAGGTTTTATGTCATATAAGCCATCACAGATATTTCCTGGAGATAGAGTGAATATAATCTTGATGATTTATCTCCTTTTGGATGACTAAGTTAAGGTTAGTTTTTCTCTTTGACTCTTTTCACATTTATCGCTGGAGAACTGTAATAACTGAGTTTAGCGTTTCGATGTTACTCTGTGAACTTTCATTAAACTAGTAATTTTCCTTATTTTTGAATAGAACATATGTACTAGTTTAGTAAATAATATTGAATATCTCCTTATTGTTACTTTGAATATTGAATAACTCCTTATTGTGTCAGTTGTGGGGAAACAATTATAAATTTATTTTCTGTTTTTCATCAGCTTTTTTCTATGTCCGACAGAAACCTCATTGCCTTACATGTCAAATGAAACCCAATTTAAATTAGGCAAACAAGCAAGTAATAACCGATTGATGATATTTTTTGGAAGTTTATTTAACTTACTATTCTTTAAAAAATGTTTCTTTAGGCACTTGAAGACTCCAGCTTCCTGAAAAGAAGTGGCAGGGACAGTGGCTACGGTGACATCTGGTGTCCTGAACGTGGAGAATTTCTGGCTCCTCCAAGGCACCATAAGAGAGAAGATTCCTTTGAAAGCTTGGACTCTTTGGGCTCGAGGTCATTGACAAGCTGCTCCTCTGATATCACGTTGAGAGGGGGGCGTGAAGGTGTGTTGTGTTTTGGCTGTCAGTTTATTTGTTTGCATATCAAGGGAGAACTGGAAACAAGAGAGAATAGAAAAATGGAGCGAAAACTAGGCAGAAATTTCACTTAGAAGTGGATTTTCATAGAGACTCAAGTATAACTGGGGGTTTTGTTATTTTTTTCTCCTTCATGATGGTGATAGTTTCATTTTTGAAAAGTTTCATTTCTGGAAAGGACTGGGAGGTGACAGTTAATTGTGACCTGTTTTATCAGTGATAATCTATCCTGGCTCTTCTGTCTCCAGATTCAGGCTTAATTTGTGTTCACGAGTTCTATAAACTGATATATCTAAACATAGAAAGGAATATAAGATTCTGCAAAAAAAAAAAAAAAAAATTCTCTTCTAGTTTCTGAGTAACTTTCATCCTTGGCTTTTTTCAAAAGATTAAAAAAATTCTCTTAAGCAAAAACAAGAGAGATATTTTTACAATTATTTCTATAGATGAGAAGAAATGACTGCTATCTATCATGATAGAATATTATGTTAAACTTTGTAGACTGAATAATATACCACCACATAACATGCTGGTAGAAATCCTCTTTTGGTCCTTTCAGGGTCAGAGCTAACCTAGGACAGAGCAAGTGTGAAAGGAACATGTTAGAGACATCTTGTTGTGGGAAGGAACCTTCTTTCAAAATCCCAAGCTTATGGTCAGTTCAGTTATTTCAATGCACATCTTATTCCTGTGGCTACTGGGTATAGCATCAGCAATTTCTGACTGCACATCTCCAGCTATTCAGATTTGACTAGATTGAAATCACAAGTAAAGTTTTTTTGAAATATTTATATGCTTCTACTGACATCAACGTGAAAACATTGAGTTCTGGCTGTGAATTTCTGCTTGATTGTTAGGGATTTTACATTGCTTGTGTATTTGGAATATTACTTTTCTATTTCTAGGTATTTTTCCTAGCATATCTATGACAAAAATGTCAAAAATCAGCAAACTTAAAATAATTGTACAGTAAACACACATGTGTTTGTCACCTAATTCCACCATGATGTTTTACTATGCATGATTTGGCTTATACCCATCTCTCTCTCCTCTTTCTGTCTTTCTCTTTCTCTTTCCCCCTCCCTCCCTCTTTCTTTCTCTATTATAATTTAATCATCTTATTTTTTGAGGCATTTCAGAATATATTACACTTGTCCTAAATACTTCAGTATGCACATCATTAACTAGAATTTATTATTTGTTTTGCTTCTGAGGTGAAACTTATATAAATACGACATACTGTGAATTTGTTTTCCAAAAAATCAATCAACAATTTATTAAGCATGGTAACAAAAAACCTGAATGCTTTATCTTTTAGAGTAGTAGTTTTTAAAAATAAAAAATGTGAAAGGCTATTTAAGCATTAACCTTTGTAATTACTGCCACATGTATTGGCTGTTTGCTGTCAAGGTGTGACAGATTCATAGCCTAGATGACGATTCCAATACGTTTAAGGAAATGAATCTGAGTATGTGATTCATCTGAGTGGTTAAAGCTGTAAAAGCAGAGGCTGAAATTCTGAACCCGCTGTATTTCTTTGCCCTGACTGAAGAACCTACTCCATGTAATGATGGAATTTATATCTAGCCAAGGAATAAAAGGGGAAAAGATAGAGGGCATGTGGGAATATGCGGGCTTCAGTCAGTTCAGATGCAGTGGCCCGCCCAGTGGTGTGGAATCTAAGGCGTCTTCTCAGATCCTAGTTGGAATAGACACCTGTCCATGTAACCAAAAGCAGAGGGCTACTGTCACATTCCTTTCTGATCTTGGAAATGGGGCTGCAGACCTTTTTTGAAGAGTGTGGAAGTGAAGTCTTGGAAATTACAACTAAGCAGGGAAAAAAAGCCTGGGATGGAGGCACCTGGATGATGAAACTCTTTTGTGATCAGCGTGTTAAAATTCTACTGCTACCCTCTAGATTGTAGTCCTAAATTGATGAGCGCTATAATACAGGGTAATATTTTTAGGATAACAGAATTGCAATGTCACATTCTCTAGTTTTACATGAAAACTCATATCAAGAATGATATTTTGGGGAGAAAAATTATCTGCAGGTACTGTACTGGGCTAAAAAAAGACTTTATCTTAAAAAGTAAAATGGTCTCTTTATGACTTTAAAATTCCTCATGTATAGATTTTGGCAAGAGTAATTGATATACTTATTGGAAATGAGAGATAAATGTCTGATTTTTTAGAAGGTGGTAAAAAGAAAGCACCAGTTTATTGACTACTACCCCTCATGGTCATAGCTGCGTTTACTTTCTCTCTTTTACCAAGACTCTACTCTCCTTTTACCGTGTCCCTGTCTCACAGCTGTATGTTAAGCGACTTCCTGTAGACTGTTCTCAGTGTTATTTACTGTAGCTTCCTGCCAGGCAGGAGGGAGGGGAAGAGACTGCCTTTAACTCAGGTTAACCCTGCAGGTGCTCTACCTGCTGAGAGCTTGTAGCTGTCAGGCGCTGTGCACAGCCAGGCCCGGAGAGAACCCTGGTGAGAAGCAAGTAACACTTCCAAACCTTTACAAATGCACAAGAGGCAGGAAGAGAAGAAGGGTGGGAAAGAGAGACAACTTGGCTTGGATCTGTAGTGTTGTTCTCTCCCCTTTTCTTCCTTTGTCTTTAAAAGAGTAGATTTCTTCTTCTTCTTCTTTTAAGAAAGCAGATTATTATTTGTATCTGTCTGACCTTGAGGTGTATCAAAGGGTGTTCTTTTGAATTTGTGTTTAAATGATTATGAATCATAATACAAGGTTCCCAGTATAATTTCCATGGCCACTCAGAAGAAACTGAGTTCTGTGCTCTCATTTGGGCATAAGACTTGAGATTCCTTTGGAACTTTAGAAGTCATCCAGTCCAACCTCATATTTAATATCTGATTCTGGTTCATCGGATCTATCCAGACCCTTTACAAGCTTCTTGTTGTTGTTTTGCTTCTCTTTCTACATCCTCCCTGATCTCTGCCCTCACATATATATTGTAGATAGCTGCATGCCTTATTTTAGATTACTGAGTTCCCCTAGAATTACTTTTGCATGTTGTTTTAAGTATCTGTGACTCCATTGCTAGATTTTATTTCTATGTATTACATCAACAAATCTTATGGAAAATCATGGAGACAGAGATCGAGAAGAAAAGGGGCTCACTAGTAAAACAGGACGTTTTCTGCTTAGAGCCTACAACAGCAAAAGAATGTACTGCATGTGCCTCCAGTATGCAAAGCAAGTTCCTCCTAATGGATCTTATCACAACTTCGTGACAAATTTCTAAAAATATTCCCTGCAGTTAGCAGTGGCAGCACTGGGTTTCTAAGGGAAAGACAAAGCAGGCGCACTGTGTGGGTTTCAGTTAGGCGAATAATCTGGAGAGTAAAGCAAATTCTTGTGCCTCCTTTATAGGTTTTGAAAGTGACACAGATTTGGAATTTACATTCAAGATGCAAGATTATAATAAAGATGATATGTCGTATCGAAGGATTTCGGCTGTTGAGCCAAAGACTGCGTTACCCTTCAATCGTTTTTTACCCAACAAAAGTAGACAGCCATCCTATGTACCAGCACCTCTGAGGAAGAAAAAGCCGGACAAACATGAGGATAACAGAAGAAGCTGGGCAAGCCCGGTTTATACAGAAGCAGATGGAACATTTTCGAGGTACTGAAATGGGTGTGATTATTGAGTTTCGTATGCGTTTCGAATGTGGTGAGATGTTAAATGTGGTAAAAAGAATGGCTCTTAAATGTGTTTCATAGATCATATATTAAGCTTGACTTGTGAGAATATTTTTCATCCCTCTATTTTTAGTTATACATATCTTGAAGCCATTTCTTCTGTTTTAGAATGTCAGCATGTGATTTGCTAGGTCTTTTTTTAGATGCATGACTTCAGTTTATTGGTATTTTTCAGCTTACCAGATAATTTATATTGTTCATGATGAGCCCTGCCATGTAATGTTTTTCCTTTTTTGATTGATCTTAGTGGACATGAAAAGAATCCTTTAATTTCTCAGCAAATTAGCAGAACAGAGTGTGGTTTTGCAAATCCAGCTTCCTCTCACGGGGAGGCGTACGGTTTTGAAAGTGGTTCGGACTCTGAGGATGAACGAAGGTTTCCTGACATAGTTTTGGATGACTTAGCCAACCGTAGATTCCAAGTGAAAAAGAGGCCCCAGAATTTCATCTCGAAAATCACCTCTCCTAATTCTTGTCCGCAAATACTTTCTCCTGCTGATATGTTCGCCATGGGGCTGTATGGACTGACGAGGTCAGAAATACTTGTCCTGGATCCGGCTGTCTATCATGCTGCTGATTTTAATTCAGAAAGTAACACCCCAAATTGTTTGTTATGTGCCTCTTTCTTTTAACACAGCTTCTAATGAAGTATCTTTGGCCCATGTGTATCTAGCTATCCTTGAATTAAAATGAGATGCTGTTATAGTAAATTTGTCCTAGGAGTTGTGGTGGTGATGAGAATGGGAACTAATTTGCTTTGTTCACAGTGGTGTAAACTTTGTGAACCAGAAAGCATGCCATTTGTGTGCTGTGTCACAAATGCTCATACAGTGTCTTAACCAGTTGGATGTTTTGAACAGTAATCAGAGGAGGATTTGGGGCACCAATGTGGAGAACTGGCCAACTGTACAAGGAACTTCGAAGTCCTCTTGTTATTTGGAAGAGGAAAAAGCAAAGACAAGAAGCATACCCAACATTGTAAAGGATGATCTTTATGTGCGCAAGCTCACTCCAGTCATGCCAAACCCAGGGAATGCTTTTGATCAGTTTCTTCCCAAATGTTGGACCCCGGAAGATGTGAACTGGAAAAGAATAAAAAGGGAAACTTATAAGCCATGGTATAAAGAATTTCAGGGATTCAGGTTTGTCATTGTGCATGTTTCTATTACACCGTTGTACATTCAGTACCCCAGCTGGGGTTCTGTGTGCATGTTTTTTTATAATAATAATAAGAGAGAGAGAGAAAGTCTAATTAGTTCTCTAGTGTCTACAGAACCTATATAATGGAAATGAATTTCTGTTTAAATTTAAACCTGAGGATCTAGATCTTAAAAAGCCCTGTTCCATACATAGTCGTCGCACGGCATTATTTTTAGTAGTTCTGTTTTTCTCCAATTCTTTGTCTCATTCCCTCCTCCCTTCTTTTCTCCATGTCACTCACAGTAGAAGGAATTCAGATTCTGAGGATGAGGACTCAGGTTCTGCCAGAAGCGCCACCGTTTTTAGTAGAGCACAAAAAGCAGAGCGTAGGCTAGACGGCAGCTGCCAAAGACCTTCACTCTTGCTGGAATTAGCTACCAAACGGGCTGTAAAATCACCGGACTCCCATGCAGCCAGGAGAAGCAGTAGTGCTTCGGATGAGCCCAGGTGCCCCTGTCTGCATGAGCCTGCCTGCTGGGGGTCTGGCCTCAGACACCCCTCTGCCCGCTTCTGCTGCTCTATTAACCTGGGACCTGATTGCATTGAATCAGGAAACCTGACTCATTTAGTGGACTTAGTACAAAAGCATAATGTATAACATGCTGCTTTCTGTGCAACTACATCAGCTTGGAAGTCTGTAGGATTCAACATTCTTCTTTAGCACAATAATGTGTGAGACAGGATATATTTACATGTGGCAGTTCTTTTGAAAAGCCAGTTCAAAAAGGCTTGTTAGAAAGTTTACCTAATTTTACAGTTTTGCTGTGTGTGGAGATGTGGAACAAGGAAATAAGTTGCAGGTAGAGACTGGGAAGGGCAAGTCTAGGGAAAATGCCAAGGAAGGATTCCTTGAGCTCTTTTATAAAACTTCAGAGCAATTCATTTTCCCTTTTTCCGGCTGATTACATATACGTATTGCATAAAGTGCATGATGCCCAACTTGTGAAACTTTCAAAGATTATTCCTTCTTCTTCAGGGGGCACTTAGACCACGGTGGCAAATGGAAGGAGGGGTACCAGGGGCCAAACACAGTGGCTTATGTCTGGAATCCCAGCACTTTGGGAGACCGGGGCAGGTGGATCACTTGAGGTCGGGAGTTTGAGACCAGCTTGGCTAAAATGGTGAAACCTTGTCTGTACTAAAAATACAAAAATTAGCTGGGCATGGTAGGGGGCACCTGTAATCCCAGCTACTCGGAAGGCTGAGCGAAATGAATTGCATGAACCCAGGAGGCAGAGGTTGCAGTGAGCTGAGATTGCGCAACTGCACTCAGCCGGGGGGACAGAGCAAAACTCTATCTGAAAAGAAAAGAAAAGAAAAGAAAAAAGGGTACCAGGGAGTAGCTTTTCTGTGTGCCTGGGAGGGGTACTTAATCTGTACTCCAGCCCCATCCATGGCCTCTATGGTGCCCAGCTTTCCTGAGAAGTATGCTCTGCTCTTATTTCTTTAGAGAGTATCCAGGAAAGTCATGGGTGTTGGATTAAATGCTAGTCTATTCCTAGCAAGAGTCCCGCGATGGTCCTCTAAAATAATTTATCCTCAGTAACTGGCTAGTTGGTCTGCTAATTACCTTTGGCTAGTCGATCTGCTAATTACCTTTTCTCCCCAAACTTAATAAGATTCTCTTTCCTTTTTCCTCTCTGTGCATCAGTCAGTTTTTACTGCTTCAGGCCCTCCAAACATACTCTGATGACATCTTGTCTTCTGAAACACATACCAAAATTGATCCCACTTCTGGCCCAAGGCTCATAACCCGCAGGAAGAATCTCTCTTATGCACCAGGCTATAGAAGAGATGACCTGGAGATGGCGGCCCTGGATCCTGACTTAGAGAATGATGATTTCTTTGTCAGAAAGACTGGGGCTTTCCATGCAAATCCATATGTTCTCCGAGCTTTTGAAGACTTTAGAAAGTTCTCTGAGCAAGATGATTCTGTAGAACGAGATATAATTTTACAGTGTAGAGAAGGTGAACTTGTACTTCCGGATTTGGAAAAAGATGATATGATTGTTCGCCGAATTCCAGCACAGAAGAAAGAAGTACCGCTGTCCGGGGCTCCAGATAGATACCACCCAGTCCCTTTCCCCGAACCCTGGACTCTTCCTCCAGAAATTCAAGCAAAATTTCTCTGTGTACTTGAAAGGACATGCCCATCCAAAGAAAAAAGTAATAGCTGTAGAATATTAGTTCCTTCATATCGGCAGAAGAAAGATGACATGCTGACACGTAAGATTCAGTCCTGGAAACTGGGAACTGCCGTGCCTCCCGTCAGTTTCACCCCTGGCCCCTGCAGTGAGGCCGACTTGCAGAGATGGGAGGCCATCCGGGAGGCCAGCAGACTTAGGCACAAGAAAAGGCTGATGGTGGAGAGGTCAGAGTGTGCTTCTGCAAGGATTTTGCTTGTGATGGATGATCTTGTGTAACTTTTCTCATGCAAGAAAGCAGCTCATCATGTTGCTCCACTCTGCATGTCGCGTGCCATTTTGAAGCATCCCGTAAAACTTAATTTGCTTTGAAAAACGCTCATTTTGTAGAAAAAGTGCAATTCCATATTTGTATATCTCTAAATAACTTATTTAGGCCTGTTTAAGACTGCATATACATAAACCTTGCCTTTGACTTAAGCAGTACTGTGGTACTATTCACCAATATGAAGTTTCATAAAAATCTTTTCCAACTTATATTTCTGGACTTCTCATGTTCAGGCATTTCTGTAACAGTCTGGTGATAGTTTGGTTTTATGTGTCGCTCCCATTTTAGAGTGTCTGATTTTTTTGAGTGGTAAAATTTTCCCTGAAAATATGGCATTGCAAATTTCATTTAACTTAAATTTTTTCTTTGGCCTAGGTTTCTTGGACTATCATTTGTAACTTATTTTTATTTATAAAGTTCAGTGTAAACATTGATGTTAAAATGCATGAATGGTATTTGTTGTCTGCTGAATTTTGTGTGTATGTAATCATGGCCATTTTGATAGTTCGTATTATGCAACTTGCCTTTTTGATGAATGTTCAGTTTGTGGAACTTAGGGACGGACAAATCTGATTAGGTTGAATAAAATTAGAGGATCCAAATCTAACTTAACAGTTCCTGACAACGGGAAGCCTTTTCTTATGGATTTGTTAGCTCAGAGTAAATTGAGGAAATTCTTCATATTGCTTAATCTGAATTTCCTGAGATAGGAAATTGATGAGAACTTGAGACATGATCAAGAATGTGATGGAAGAAGTGACCTTTTGAGATTTGTCCGTTTCCAATTAGATTCTTAAGTGAAAGACATTGAATGTTTAGAAACTAATATGACTGGGAAAAATGACTTTTTAATTTTTGGTTTTCTGGTTTCTTAGACTCTTTCAAAAGATTTATGGTGAGAATGGGTAAGTTATGTGGTTCACAGTAAAAAATCTGTGCCTATTGTTTGTTCTTTGTATAACTTACTGTATTTCTGGCATGGCATGTCACTAAATGGGGATGTTGTGTGCTGTGCATGAGATTTTTTAAATGGGAAATGTTTGTTTTGCAGCCTAATGGCAATATTTCTGTGTCTTGGTGCCCAGTGCATGACAAAATTATTTTATTAAAACTTTAAACTTTAGCTCCATCCCTTCTTTTTTCCTTTGTAAAAATTTAGTGAGTTGATTAAAAGTAACAAAAGCACTTGCCTAAGTTTAGGTATATATATTTTGGTATTTGGTTGCTACATGGATTAAAATTCTGATTTATGGATGCTAAAGCCCAAGTTACTACATTTTAGAAAATCAGTGATGGAAAAACAATATTAGTATTTACTTTGAGTTTAGAATACACCCAGTTGACATTATCCATATAATTGGCCCACTGGGAACTTCATTAGTAGGGTTGCATTAATCTTCCCTAGGTGGTATTTGGAAGTATTATATTTTCAAGATTCCTGATTAGGAAAAAAAAGTATAATATGGTTATGTTTATGGTGCAAAATTGGCCTTCAAAAACTGCAAAAATCTTCTTAATTTCTAATGTCATTGTCGCAAAAACTACATTTTTTTTTTTTTTTTTTTTGAGAAGGAGTCTTGCTCTGTTGCCTGGGCTGGAGTGCAGTGGCGCAATCTTGGCTCATGGCAACTTTCACCTCCCAGGTTCAAGCAATTCTCCTGTCTCAGCCTCCCGAGTAGCTGGGACTACAGTTGCGTGCTACCACACTCTGCTAATTTTTGTATTTTTAGTAGAGACGTGGTTTCACCAGGTTGGTCAGGCTGGTCTCAAATTCCTGACCTCAGGTGATCCATCCACCTCAGCCTCCCAAAGTGCTGGGATTACGGGCAAAATCTACATTTATAGTAAATCATTTATTCATTCTTAGTACAAAATCACAAGGTGGCTGTATCTTAATATTTTCCACCAAACTTTCTGTAACTTTGTGTATCTAAGGGCCAATAGTGTTTGAGCAAGAGGAAGAGAGTTAAAGGATGAAAATGTTTTAATCTGCTCAGGCCTTAGTAGCTAAGTGTCTTCCCTTACAAGGATTTACTTCATCTATAAGAATCTCTAGTTTTGATAGCTTTTTATAATTTTGATAATTCAGAAATGTTGGAAGCTACTAAACATAAAGCAGTGTAACCATTCTAGATGCCACAGGTGTAACTGAGCCATAGGCAACAAATTGCAAGTACTTGTTAGCCACTGATTTTAAAAACCAGGGTCCCTGCATACTTTCCGTGTGCCATGCAAAGGCACATTATCCCCTTTCCAGCTCATCTGCATGACGCTTAAGCATTTGCTACTTTCAAGTCATAGGAAAGCTGTTTTAACTTGATTAAAAATCTCTTTGCAGCTTTAAGCATGTTGAATTGTAACTTTCAGAAAAATTTTCATTTGTAAATTAAATATAACTTTATAATGTAAGCAGCTCTCAGAAATAGTTGCTTTTCTTAAAGGGAATACAAGTACCCAGAGTACAAGTATGTGTTGGGAATGCCAACATGTACAACCATTTCAGTGGCTGGATGTGTTCCCCATAGTGAGGGGTAAATTATATGACTGAGTTAGAAAAGAAGACAGAAACCTAAAACCAAAGCTTGAAAAGCTAAAGATTTTTCTGGATTAGAACTAACAGCAGCAAATGTTTTCTATCCCAAGATAGTTGTTCGGATAGTACAATATTTGTTTTAAAGGCTGTTCTGCGTGCAGTTCAATGCCAAGGTAACTACACAAATAAAGCAAGATTGTCTGTAAATTGAGACTGAATAATGCACGATGTGTCAAACAATGGAAAGTATTATAATATGAATGTGTCCTCAGAAAACTCAAGTGTGTTTTGGACCACTTGAAGTCAATTAAGTCAAATCTATAACAAAGGATTTTTCTGTATAGTCTGTCAGTTACCAGGGCTTTTTTTTTTTTTTTTTTTTTTTTTTAAAGAGATGGAGTCTTGCTATGTTGCCCAGGCTGGTAGGCTGGTCTTGAGCTCTTGGGCCTAAGCATTCCTCCTGCCTTGGCCTCCCAAAATGTTAGGATTACAGATGTGAACCATCAGGCCTGGCCTACCGGTACTTTTCTTAAGTAGATCTGCTGCAGTGAAAAGAAAATAGAAATTTAAATTGGATTAAGTGTAGGCTTTTAATCTAGAACCTGTTTCATGTTTATGCTGGGTGATATTTCTCTGAACATAATGTTTGTTGTCAAGCTTGGCATAGTTACCTGGAAAACCATTATTGCTCAACATGCTGTCATTGAAAAATAACTGCCTATAACATGAATGCTTTCTTTTTTGTGAGGACTGGGTTAAAGAGAAATGTGCAGTATCTTTTGAAGTCTGAGACTGTTAATTTCTGGCTTGCTTTTTATTTGGCATTTAACACCTGTCAGTTTGCTTGTTTGTTTTTAAGACGCTTTGTGTGTGGTAGTCATTTCTTCTATGCACTTTCATCTTGCATGGATTTATGTCTGTATGGTTTCATGAAACTTGAAAATTTGGTCATGTGTTTTGGCAGAAGCAATTTATGACAAAATTTGTTGTACGAATATGTAGAAATAATCTTGTATGTGATTGAGCTGTTGAATCTGTTGCCGGTGTTAATAGGAAATGAACACTGATTTCACATGAAGTTGTAATAAAAGACAATTAAGTCACCCACATTTCACTTATGGGTTTGGCCAAAAGATTCTGTAGAATTATAAAGGCTTATGACACCAAAAAAGAAAGGGAAAAAAAGCCAATGTCAGTTATTTCTAGGGATTTCCCTCCATCCCCAGGAGACATTTGGCAATGTCTGGAGGCATTTTTTATTGTCCCATTGGGTGGGTGGGAGTGTGTGCACTACTGGCAACTAGTGCCTTCGTAGCCAGAGATGCTGCTAAATGTCCTACAGTACACAGGAGTGCCTATAACAGATAGTTTTCTTGCCCCAAAATGTCAGCAGTGGTGCTACTGAGGAACCCTCACTGAGAGTATACATCTGTAAATGAAAAATCTTCATCACATTGACTTTTTATTCTAGTGTATGGTAATTCCAAAGCCTCTTGCCCAAGTTTTAGCATTGATTGCTCTTCAGAGAATTCCTTAGTACCTAATGGAAATACACTCAGAGGTACATAAATCAGTATATTCCTATCTCCCTCCAAAAGTTGGGGAACCTTAACCCTAGTATCATGGAATTTCTGTTTGCTGTATAAGTCTATCCATGATTTTATATTTGAGAAAATTTGCCACGTTCTGCTCCTTTTTGATCCATTACTCCTTAGATTTTCACCTGTAAAGTTCCTGGAAGTGAGTTCTAAAAGGAAATGCCTTAAAACTAGCCAAAAACTGCCAGGAGCATAGTAGGCAACCTGCATCGTGGGAGAAGAGAGTGAGACTTTAGCAACCTTGTTTATGATTGACAACTCCTTCCTTAAACTTCCGCTTTTTCCTTCTAAATGCTATTTTTAAAAAATTCTGTTCAACAGAAAGGCAAGATGCTAGATCTGTATTTTTTGGAAAAACTCCAGTTGCAGTTCTAAATTGGAGCCTTTCCAAATAAGGAAATACAAATGAAGCAGGACTTGTAAGAGACATATGATGTGATTTGCCAGTTAATCATCCTTCATTCAACACAACGTACTAGAGCCGCGCAATCCTTCATAGTTTTCCCAAACAATTTTCCTGATGCTATCTCTGGTACTTATCTCAAATCTGTGAGGCCAACAGATAGGGATGTGGAGATAGAGAAACAAATATTGCAGCTTTCCCAAGGACATGTGGCTTGTGAGTGGTAGAACCGGACTAGGGCTTTGCCTCTGAGATAATTCACGTAGACTGCTTGGCGAGGTTGCTGGCACACACAGTAAGCCCTCAGAAGCTGAATATTATGCCATTAATGCTGATAAGGGAAGGAAGAATTCTTTGTGATCTGGCCTGAGAGACTCCTTCCTCTACTACAAAAGTTCTGGATTTTATCACTGTGGTCTGGGGTGACCTCTCGAATTTGAAGCAGCTTAGAGAGTTAGCTTTTGGGAGATTCCAAACAATCATGTTCGCTTTAATGAGAATTAGTATATGGCCCAGAAGGTTTTAAAAATGCAACCCACACAGTCAAATCCAGTTCTCATAACAATCCCTTCCTCACTTAGCAGGTGAGAAATGGGAGCTCGGAAGTGAACTGATGTGTGTTAGGGTAGGGTGAAAACTGGCACCACGGCTGGGCCTGCAGCCCTCGCCTCCTGGCTCATTGCGGTGCCTGGCTCCAGCTGCTATACAATGTGTGCAGGCTGAATGTGGGTAACTGTTTTTTACCCTAGGGAGTGAACTGTGCTCACATTCCTGCCTTACACGGGGACTTGTCTACTCCAGAGTGTATTTGGTTCACTTTGTTCACATTAAGGACTGCCTGTGTGCCAGGCTCTGCTCCGTGTTGGGGACACCCAGGAGGAGAATGCAGCCTCTGCCCTTGAGAAGCACATTTCACGGGAAGACACCTTAGCATTGCCTGGTGTAGAAGGATTAGGGCCAAAGGAGAGCAACCCTGGGAGCTCCTGGGCCTTCTAGCCTTCCTCCCATCAAAAGATTATTAAACTATTAGCATCCCTTTTTTTGTTGTTTGTTCTGGAGTTTGTGTAATCTCGTGTGTTGAGTGTCTAGATACCCCTCCTGCCTGGTTCTTGAAAAATTTTTCCTGCCTCCTCTTAGTGAGTCTGTCATAGTATTAGTTCAAATAGCCTCATTCTTCACAGTGTGACTTACGTGAATTTATATTCTCAAATTCACACAAATCAGTTTTATAAGTAGTCATACCTAGTTAGATATATTACATTAATAGATCCATCTATATTCATATATGTCCTCATATATTCTCTCGATATAATTTATTCCTTAATAGTCCTTAATAAATCCTGTAGAACTTTCTTCATAGAACTGTGGATAGCCATAATAATCTTACAAAAAGAATTAGAAACATTTTAAGTATAGTAAATTTTACTTGATTAAATGTTAGAAAACCTACCTTATTCTTACCACAGACATTGAATGAGTATATCCTGCATGCCTTGTGCTGCTAGTAAGTTTTCCTCCTAAGCAACACACGACTTGTGAGGAAGAGAATCCAAGCATGCACGTGCACACACAGACACACATGCACTGTAACAGACATAAGGCTGAGGGTTCAGTACCATGATAAAGTTGTAGCTGAAGCAGTAGAGGGGTTGAGAGAAGGGACAGAGCAGCTTTGATGTGGATGAGCTGGGAAGACTTCATCAAAGTGCTGAATATTATCTAGATCATTAATTTAACACATTTTTCAAGCACCTACTGCAGGCTAGGCTCCCCTTCAGGTACAGGTGATATGCTAGCAAGCAAATCAGAAAATTCCTGCTTTATAATCTTACAGGGCAAGGCAGTGATATGTAAATAAATGTACTTGATGGTGAGAAATGATATGAAGGAGAAAGGACTAGGGACAGGATGGGTCAGGGGAGAGGGGCATTTATTGTTTCTGGCAAGGTGGTCAGAGAAGGAAACACAGAAGGCACATTTAAGCAGATGCCTGGAAGTGAGAGAGGAGCTATGTGGATATCTGGGTGAAGAGCATTCCAGGCAGATTGAAGAGCAGGGGGAAAAGCAGGAGGTGTCAGCAGGGAAGGGAGGCCAGTTGGCTGGAGCAGAGAGAGTGAGGGCTGGTGCCGATGAGCACAGAGAGGTAGTAGGAACCAGGGATGGCAGACCTCTTAGGTTTTGGAAGAACCTGTCTTTAATTTAACTCTAATGAAATGGGAAGAAAGTAGTGGGTGCTGAGTAGAGGTGTACTGTGATCTGAGTGCAGTCTGAAAGGACCTGTCTGGCTGCTGTTGGGTAGGAAGGGGTGGAAGCAAGGAGGCTGTTGTAATCCAGGTGGGTGATGTAATGTGATTATTATAATAATTGTAATAATCTGGGTAGGAGATGATGTGATAATTGTTATAATCCAGGTAGCAGATGTGATTATTGTAATAATTGTAATCATCCAGGTAGGAGTCACTTGGATCAGGGTGTAATGGTGGAAGTGGTAAGAAGTGATTGTGTTCTAGATACATTTAGAAGGCAGAGGGACAGGATTTACTGATGGGACCAGTTACGGTATATGAGAGAAAGAGAGGAATCTGGGATGACTCCAAGATGTGTGCCCTAATGTTGGGAAGGATAGAGGTGACCTTTACTGATACAAGGAGAGTGAGAGCTGAGCAGGTTGTGAAGGGGACAATCAGGTTTTTTCTGTGACAAACCTGAGGCCTATTAGACTTCCAAGTGGAGAATGAATAGGAAGTTGGAAATACCTGTCCGGGGGTCCTGAGGTATGAATGGCAATTACGAAGTTAGGTATACTGGTAAAGGGCTTTTGAATCAGAGGAAATAGTTTAGGAAAGATGTTTGTTGAAACTGGAGTTTGGGTATTAATTCAAGAAGCCATTTTGGAAGTCTAGGTGAGTTGACTGTACTCTGATCTAGGGTGTTGGCAATAGAGATGGAAAGAAAGAGACACTGAATGAAAGGACTTGATAACTAATGGAAAGTGGGGAGAAGGGAGAAACAAAGGTGCAAAGTGGTTCTTAGGTTTCAGATGTGGATGACTGGAGGGCAGGTAGCAACATTAGTAACCACAAGAGGAAAAGCAGGTTTGGGGACAAGATTGAGTTTGGTCACATCAACAATAACCATGCATTTAGTGAGTTACAGTTTACAAAATCCCTTCTAGATATTATTTTAATCAGTCCTTTGCCAATTGAAGAAGTGCCTAGGGGATATCCATGCAGAAATATTTATTCAAGAAGCAATTGGAAATGAGTCAAAGGAAGGACTGGTTCCTTAATTATGGAATTGGGAATCGTTTAGAAATAATAATTCCATGAGCTAGCTAAGCTAGGAATTCCTGAACAGCTAGGAGCAAACATGCTTTAAAAGAAACAATGATGGCACCATCTTGGAAGGCAACATTTAGATGCCCAGGCAGGGGGTGTACAGTTACTTAAATAAAGTCAGGAGCGCAGTATAAAAGATCAGTGGGAAAGAGCTTCAAAGGCTCTTTCTCGCATTCCTACTTGCTCCTCAGTATTTAGATCTGACCTCTCCCTTTTCTTGAGACCACCCTCAATCTCTCTTTCCCCTCTGGTATAGTTTACTCGGCTCTTGGTTATGTGCATGTAGAGAGCACACGTGTACCTGTGTCCAACACGCCACTCTGTTCATTGGTTTCTACTGTGGATTGAGCTCTTCCAAAGCTTAACCTCAGTCCATCCTTGTGTTACAAGTTGAATGTGTGCAAGTTGCCCTAATAGAAGAAGAGGGTTATAGAGGTAGTTATAAAGGACTATTAGAAACTATCTGTGGTGCTTTGAGAACAAGTCTAGTGCACTGGTAGGGCAGATCTTATAGAATCTTTTAGAATCAGCAGCACATTTATTCATGGTATTGAACTTGAGGAGAAAAATATCAGGTAAACTTTAAATTATTAATGAGTGCCCAGAAAAGGCAGCCAAACCTCAACAGATTATCTTTGAAGGAGATAGAAAATAAAGAGAGTGACTGTTTTTTTCCTAAAGTAATCCTTTTATGCATTGACCTCTTTAAATATGAACCTTGGGGAGTTTTTTCGAGACTTGTATAGGGCTAATCTAGCCATTTTGTGAAAAACTTCACACTCGAGTGCTAGGCTCTTGTTTCTGAGTTTTGGAAAAACACCATTTATCTCTGTAGCGCTACTTCTGTGACACTATCACTGAAGTGTCTAGGTAGAAATTTAGGTGGAATTTCCAAATATAAGTCCAACCTCAGTTTAACCCCTAAGTCTGGTCATGTGAACTTCTGTGGTAACCATGAGTCTTTTTGTTGTAGGAGTAAGTCCATGAGCGATGTCAGCGCAGAGGATGTTCAAAACTTGCGTCAGCTGCGTTACGAGGAGATGCAGAAAATAAAATCACAATTAAAAGAACAAGATCAGAAATGGCAGGATGTGAGTATTTTGGGGGTAGCGGGAGGGAGAGTGTATTTGTTTGACTTTTCTTTGCTTCTCTTAAAGTCTATGTACCCAAGACCATTTCCTTGCTATTACAGAATTCAGTTCTGTGTAAAAGTGACCAACTTCCTTTACAAAGATTTTTAAACCTTTTTTTTTCCTATTATTGTTGCATATTTTAAAGGCCATTGTGAAAAATATACCTGAATGTTTATTTTCTAATATTCTCTGAGTTCTCAAAAATGTGAGTTGCTTCCTTGCAGTATGGTGAACTTATTTACTTGTTTTGGTGGTTGAATTTGGGATATGCACATTAACTATACTTCTGATGGGAAAGACCTGGCCAAAGTTTAGGGAGAGAAGAGGAACAGGGTTCTGGCAGAGACCTTGGCATCAGTAAGGAAAGATGAAAAGGGTTAGTAATTAAGAGTTAATTAGGGAGATTTGGGGAGAAATAAGTAATATAACTCAGAGCAATATTTTGGCTGAAGAAGTCAGTAATATGAATCAAAATGAAATGTTTTTTGCAGAGTTGACATATATCCAGGTGTTTATATAGATATAGACTTACTCTTTAGTTTTGATCCTGAAGAAAAAAAGCTTGACCATTTTTTTGAATAGAGTAATTGTGATAAACTGAAGAAATGCAAAGAAATACAGTAGACAAACTATCAGAGCAAACCCAAAGAAATTTGAAGACAACTTTATGGTGAGAGTTGAGCAATAGCATGAACAAAGGAGTCAAAGTACATCTTAATTTTCAAAGGAATTAATAGTCTCTGAAATGAAGAAACCTCTGCCCTGGCTACCTTTCTAAATTCTGGTGCCTCTTTTAATTGGGAACTCAATTTAATTGTCAAGAAACAGTAATTCAATATCACTTTGCCAAAATACAAGGTGAATTTTCTGGTGTGAAAGTAAGTATTAAGGGCTTATCTGTTAGGTTAAATCAGATAAACATTCATGCCAGTTATGCTGTAGGACTCAATGCGCATTGCTTTTGTTCTTTCTGGAAGGAGTTCATATTGGTCACAGGCTGTTTTTAAAGCAGGAGTGGCTCTGTGGGCTTGCAAGGGGTATAAACCAAATGTACTTTGCATGCCCTGGGGGTGAAATTCGGTTTTGTCTGAGACCTTGAATGTGCTTCTGTTTGGACTGGAATGCCACTAACAGTTCCGAGCAGTTCTCTATTTTGGAGACATGGAAAACTTTATACCTTGCAAAATGTCTTAACCCCCTGGGTCTCAGAACCAGCCTAGGTTTCTGGGGAGAATTGAAAAGCTGAATTAGGTTGATTGTCCCCGGGGTCACCCAGCAAGGTTAGACTTAACATTCCTGGGGATATGGGGGACAGGTGTTGGTTTGGTCCTGCCGCATGTTCCTTATTGCCCTGACCTAGAAGGATTTAACCCTTCTGAAATCACATACTCAAGTCTCGCCTTCCCAGTTAAAGCCTTTCCAAAGCCTCCCCTTCCGGAGGTAGAACCAGACCCATGGTCTCCTTAGGACCCCACTGTCTCATTCAATCCTGTCACACTTGTTACTGAACTTTTATTTATATATCTGACTCTCCCCTGTAGACTGAGAGTTTCTTGAGGGGAACCCCGCCCTATGCATGTATGTATTAATAGTTCCTACACTTGGGCCTGCCTCAAAGTAGGGACTGAGCTCTGTTTGTGAAATGAAAGACAGACTGTGCATCTGCGCTTAACCATCACAATCGCGTTTCTGTTTCGGCCTTACCAGTGAAACATGTTGTTTCGCAGAACAGCCAGGTTTTTGGAATGAGATGAAAACGAATTGGAAACAGTTCCTGATCTAACTAACTGTCACCTAATTACAAGCATTTAGCATTCTTTGTGAAGTGTGCAATGAGGCAGATACTTCCTGGGAAAACAAAAATGGGGTCTATCTTATTAGGTCAGGTTTTTCAGACAGACACATGAGATAAAGGCTTGGTACAGAAACGCTGGCTATAAAAAGCAAAATTAGGGCACCTTGGCACCCAGTTGGAGCAAATAGTTTCAGTGATGTAATAAGATACTCTGGCACATTCTGGCTGCTAGAAAGGGTGTGTAGAAATTCAGGTGTGCCCCTGCTGATGTGATTTTTCTGTCAGGACCTTGCAAAATGGAAAGATCGTCGAAAAAGTTACACTTCAGATCTGCAGAAGAAAAAAGAAGAGAGGGAAGAAATTGAAAAGCAGGCACTTGAGAAGTCTGAGAGAAGCTCTAAGACGTTTAAGGAAATGCTGCAGGACAGGTAATATTGCTGAATGCACCTCGGTTGTAACAGGGTTGGAGACGCCAGTGTTATAAATAGGTATTTTGTGTAAGTGTAGTGTGACATAAGTGTCCACCAATATTCAACTTTAATCAAATATGCAAAGAAACATTTAAGATTTTGGTCTGCAGTGAAAAAACAAAGCATTGTTGAAATAGTGACTTAGAGTAACAAAATAAATGAGGACTTAAAATAGGTGTTCATTATTTCTTCTCTTACATTGCGCATTCACATGCAGAATTGGATGGTGTTGGCTATGTTGGGTGCAGGAAATACACTGCTTTATACTCTTAAGTGAATTAAGGAATGAGATCTTCCAATAAAATCAGCTTACTTTTAACTAAATTGTGTAAAACATAACAAAGTTCTTTTTCATGTTTAATAGTGCAATTCATTATATTTTAAAGAAAGTTTTAATAAACATAATTGTGTGTGTTTTACTTACTCTTTGCATTGCAGCGTAACAGTATAAAGGTTAAATTTAAACTTTCCTGTAAAGCATTCATTATTCTGTGAAATATTAGGATATTTACAGGTCGAAGAAAAGGAAAATATGCTTTTAGAATCATATCAAAAAGGAAATACACTATCAGGTGAAATGAAACAAACCTGCTTTCTGCCCTAAAGGCGAATGATAAGCAGTTTCATTCATTTGGATGCAATTCAGTTAGCTTGGGAGGTGGGTATTCCTTTCTAAATGTGAGAGATGAGGGTGTTTCATGAACCTTCCCATAAATACGAATGGTGACTTTTAATCCCTAATAATTGTTCTGGCAAGTTCTGTCAAGCTATATGAAATCATACACTAGTTTGATCTCCACAAAAGCCTGGGTCTTTTGTAATCTTTTATTTTTACTAAATTATTATAAATTTTTGCAGGAAAATATCCTCACAAGGCTGCCAATTAATCCACAACTTTGGAAGGTTCAAGTTAGTTGTCAGTCATGATATTTACAGTGTTTTAATTTTGAAAGTTATAAGCTTGTGGATAAAATTTTGTGAATAATCCTTTATTAAAATTTCCTTGTTTCATTAAAAATCTCTTTACAATTAATATCCCAGTGAAGTATTTGAGAACCTTTTTAATTAAAGAAGTCAAGTTATTATTCTTTCTTGGTTGGGACATTAAAGATAATTATATACATCTTGCTGGGCGTGGTGGCTCACGCCTGTAATCCCAGCACTTTGGGAGGCCAAGATGGGTGGATCACAAGGTCAGGAGTTTGAGAGGTCAGGAGTTTGGCCAATGTATTGAAACCTTGTCTCTACTAAAAATACAAAAAAAATTAGCCGGCCATGGTGGTGTATGCCTGTAATCCCAGCTACTTGGGAGGCTGAGGCAGGAGAATTGCTTGAACCCGGGAGATGGAGGTTGCAGGTGAGCCGAGATCACGCCACTGCCCTCCAGTCTGGGCAACAGAGTGAGACTCAGTCTCAAAAGAAAAAAAAAAAAAAGAAAAAAAGAAAAAAAGTTATATGTGTCTTTATGCTCTGTAAGTGTTGTATTGATTCTTGTGTGAGGTTAGCAGCTTTTTATTCCCAGTCCATTTCATCTGTTGATTACTCTCTTACCACCTCTCTGAGTCAAATGCGTATCTTTGTGGTGATGGTGCATTTCTTTCTGCTAAGGGAATCCCAAAATCAAAAGTCTACAGTTCCTTCGAGAAGAAGAATGTATTCTTTTGATGATGTGCTGGATGAAGAAAAGCGACCCCCTACACTGACTGTGTCAGAAGCAAGTTACCGGAGTGAGAGAGTAGAAGAGAAGGGAACAACTTATCCTTCAGAAATTCTCAAAGAAGATTCTACAACTTTTGCAAAAAGAGAGAACAGTGTAACAACTGAAATTCGGCTTCCTTCTCAAAGTCCTGTGGAAGAACAACGCCCAGCCTCTTTGTCTTCTCTGCGTTCACTGAGCACACAAATGGAGTCGACTCGTGTTTCAGCTTCTCTCCCCAGAAGTTACCAGAAAACTGATACAGTCAGGTTAACATCTGTGGTCACACCAAGACCTTTTGGCTCTCAGACAAGGGGAATCTCATCACTCCCCAGATCTTACACGGTAAAAAATGTTCTCAGTTCATTTAGTCTATTCTGAAGAGCAAAATGTTGGTGAACTTGTGCAGAGGTTGGGGTTACATCAACTTTATGTATAAACTGTACATGCCATATATAATGACGTTTTATTTTATGCCAGTTTAGATGCAATGGAAACTTAATGCTTAAGATAGATCAATTATACAGAATTTACTAAACTTTAAATTATGTGAAAGTATGGCTGATACATTTTAAAGAATGAAGAAGATATATTCTAAGGCAGAGTATTATTTTATAATGTCATTTTTTTAGATGTACCTTTTCTAAAGTATTAGGTTGAAAAGTATGAAGTTGTCAGTATGATTGTTCTTCTTGACCTATAAAACAGCATTTCATGTAGTTTAGCCTAGAGATTTTCAGGTGCTTATGTACACATTTCTGCTTTTTTCAGATTTCTCACTTTATCAGCTTGAATGTCTTACTGTTTATATGTATGCATTTCTATTAATATCAGGATTTTGAAGGATGTAGAATATTGCGGCATTTTTTTTCTGAGAATGAAGTGGTACCATATCCGACAATGAGTGTGCTAATCTGAATTATGTGAAAGGAAGCAACACAGTGCTAAGATTAATGTTCAAATTCTTTTTAGCTCTGCTAATGTAGAATCCTAAACTCTAAAAGGGTATAAAAAATTGGATATTCGGGGTGAGAGAAGCCTACCTAAACTAATTGGGAAACTCCTGACCATTATATAAAGGAAAATGTAGACATATTTGACATTATAAGAATTTCATGGCAGACTTCCTTAATATAGTCAAAAGACAATATATAGACTCAGAAAAATATTATTAAAATGTATGATAGATAAAGAGTTAGTATCTCTAAGATAGAAAATGCTTCTACAAATTGGTAAGCAAACACACTAGCAAAATGAATATAGAAAAGTAGTGGCCAGTTCAAGGGAGAAGGGATTCAAATGGCTGGTAACAAAGCACAAAGAAGTATGTTCAGCTTCCCTGGAGCAAGAATGAGACGTATAACTTTTTACCCATCGGCGTGATATAGACTTAAAACATTGAAAATGTCTAGTGTTGGCAAGGATGCTGAGAAACAGATGTTCTCATACATTACTTCTGGAGTGTGTTGCTACAATTATTTTTAGAAACTATATATATATATATATATAAAACTTTTGCTCCAACAAGCCTACTTTTGGAAATCTGTGCTATAAAAATAGAAGTTCCAATTATAAAGAGATATGGATATTTGTTGCAGTAGTTTTGGAAGTGACAGAACATTTCAAACAACTTTAAATGCACATCAAATGAATAAATTGTTGATGTCCATACTATGGAATATTCAGCAAGTAAAGGGACTGGTTTGGAGTTCTATCTGTTGACCTGGAGTGATCAGCAGATAGAACACCAAGGCCTTTTGGCTCTCAGCAAAGGGGAATCTCATCACTCCCCAGATCTTACATGGTAAAACATGTTCTCAGTTCATTTAGTCTGTTCTGAAGAGCAAAATGTTGGTGAGCTTGTGCAGAGGTTAGAGTTACACCATCTTGATGTGTAAACTGCACATAACACATGTATATATGGCAAATTTTTTTTTTTACGCCAGTTTAGATTCAGTGGAAATTTAATGCTTAAGATGTTTGCTTGGAGTAAACAAGCAAAGCAAATTTCAGAAGTTTGTATGTGATATGAATGCTTTTTCTGAAACAATTTCCCCCACTACATGTGTGTTTATCTATCGGTGTGAAAGAACTCAGCCCAAGCGTTTAGTAATAGTTATGTTACTGTGGGTGGTATGCTATTTTAGTTTTAAAAAATTAATAAACAACTTTTAAAAACAGAAATAAAGGTAACAGAATATCAAGTTTAAAATGATATTTTCTTATTTAGATGGATGATGCTTGGAAGTATAATGGAAATGTTGAAGACATTAAGAGAACTCCAAACAATGTGGCCAGCACCCCTGCACCAAACTCGGATGCAAGCCAACTGGCTTCAAGCTCATCTAGCCAGAGAGAGGCAGCAGCAACAGAAGAAGATGTGACAAGGCAGTCCTCTCCTACATCCCCCTTCTCATCTCTTTCCCAAGACCAGGCTGCCACTTCTAAAGCCACACTGTCTTCCACATCTGGTCTTGATTTAATGTCCGAATCTGGAGAAGGGGAAATCTCCCCCCAAAGAGAAGTCTCACGATCCCAGGTGAGTTTGGGAAAGTTCTTTATCACCTGTGGCTCAGACACTTACGCATTTAAATCTGGAAACCATGTCTCAAACGTCAAACCTCTAGGTGTTAATCTGGGCTGAAAATGTGCAAAATGACATTCTGGTTTACTCTGAACAGATCTTGGAGGAAGTAGGTGTCTTTCCACTCTGAGTGCATAGATCCAGATAACACTTGTGATGTGAGTGTGTGGAGACTTTGTGCACCAGTCTCCTTTGGAGATTTGGCTGGTGTTTTCTCTGTATGCCACGTTTCAGTAGTGGTTGCCTTGTACTGCTAGTGCCCAGTAGTCCCAGGTTTCAGGTACAGTAGTCACTCTGAAGGTTTTAGATGCAGATCTAGTGTATATATGGGTGACAGAAGCCCTTTCCCAGGGAACTTAACTGGCCACAAGGAAAAACTGATGCACATGATAGGTGCTGGCCTCTAGGTACATGGCATTTCTTTTTCGATAATTTTAACCTTCTAGTGACTTTTAGTACTATTTTATACTTTAGAATATCTATAATTTTCGATGTTTCCTTATCTCCGAATGGGACTATGGAGGCTTAGTTATAATATGACAATTGTATTCCACAACATTTGGAGTCCAAACAAAATATACCATCAGATGAAGAATGACATGTGTAGTTTTTCCTACTTAAATTTCTAATAGATGACTTCTGAGAGAATGATTAGGTAGTAAATGTTCTTTGTAGCCTACCTGTAAAACATGCCCAAAGTCTTTGGATAACAGAAAACTTCTCTCAGAAAAATTCTTGCTAAGCATTTTGATAGTTGTATGAACCCCTTAGCATGGAGGAGCTTTTGTGGTTCTTTGGCTTGGTTTAGTATTCTTTGTTGCCCTGAAAAACATTAATTGTGTATTATATACATTAAGTGGGTGTGTATATATGACTTGTCCTAAGTTATATTAGTATTTGTGTGTATATGTGTGTGTGTATATATGTATATATGACTTGTCCTAAGTTAGATTAGTGTGTGTGTGTGTGTGTGTGTGTGTGTATGTATATATGACTTGTCCTAAGTTATATTAATGAAATAACTTGATGTGAAATAATTTGGCATTGCATATTTATTATTATTGAGTTTTTATTTGTTTGGGAAAACTTAAAACATTTAAACTTTCTTTTCTGGTCATAAGGTACTATGTGCTTGAGAAAATTTGGAAATGCAGGAAAGTATAAATAATTTAAATCGCTGACAATTCCATCATTTAGAGATAATCACTGTTAACATCTAGGTATATTTCTTTTTTTTTTTTTTCTGCATGCATATTTACAGACATATATCTAAAAACAATTTCTTCAGCTTGCTGAAATAATGAGTTGTAAATTATCATTACATTTTTTAAGGAATTGGAAATATATAATTAGCTTCCTAAGTCTCAGTGGAGGAGAACAATAGCCTGTATTATACTTGGGGAACATAAGGTACCAGTGGATGAATAATAAAAGCAGAAGCAAAGTGCCTTTTCTTTCACGGATTTGTATGTTTGCCTTTACCTTTTTCAAACAGCAAATTCAACAAAACGGCCTGAATCACGTGCTGCACGCTGGGTGTTGGTGCCTTTCTCAGGGTGGCAGCTGACTAACTGCAACTGTGGATTAAGGAAAAGAGGCTAAGTGTGGTGCGTGGGTGTGTCTCAGGTTATTGCAACTCAGAGGGAGCTTCAATTAATGTGGCACTGTTTCAGGTTTCATCATTAATGGATTTATACTTCTTTGTTCACAAACCTGAGATGGTATTCCACCAAGAAAAATTAGGCTTGATTTGATAAGTGAAGCCATTGGAATTCTTTAATGTAGATATAATTCATATGGTGACTTACATATCTCTGATGCTTGGCGTGTCCTTTTCTGCACCACTAGGGCAGTAGCTTCTATAGCATGCCCTTGCCTTTGTCTCAGAAGGAGCTTACTGACTTGAGAGAAGGATGTGAATGTGTGTGACAGCTGCTGATCAATTTGTAAAGGGCCTGTGCAACACTCCCCCAAACTCCATTCAGACACTATAACTCTAGGTGTTCAGAGGACAGCAAAATCAAGAGTAGCTTGTGGCTGATCATCTAAATGTTTCAGTAGCTCTTCAGTAGCTCTGTGGAAGAATGTTCTTCAGGTCATTTTTCTCTTTCATACCTTGGACTTTTACTGGCACTGTCCTTTCGTCTCTTCCTCCAGACTCCCCCATTGATGTTATTCTTTTCTTTTTCTTTTTTTTTTTTTTGAGATAGGATCTTGCTGTGTTGCCCAGGCTGTAGTGCAGTGGCATGATCATGGCTTATTGCAGCCTTAACCTCCTGGACTCAAGCAATCCTCCCACCATAGCCTCTTGAGTAGCTGGGACTGTAGGCACATGCCACGACGCCCGGCTAATTTTTGTATTTTTTTGTAGAGACGGGCTTTCGCCATGTTGCCCAGGCTGCTCTCGAACTCCTAGGCCTGATCCACCCATCTTGGCCTCGAAAAGTGCTGGGATTACAGGTGTTAGCCATTACGCCCAGCTGATGTTATTCTTTTCTATCTTGGCTTCCACTATGCTAATTCAGGCCCTTTTCCTATCAGTGCAAATGGTCACAGGTGTTAGTACATGCTACACAAGACTGGCATCAGATTAACTTGCCTGATGCCAGGTTGGACTCAGTAATTTCTCTGCTCCAAAGCCTCTAGTGGCACTGTGTGGTTTGCTGAATGAAGTTTGTGGCGCTCAGGGAAGCAGTGATATCTCTCACGCCCTTTGTAGCACAGTCACAGCTGATGTTAGCGTGCTTACTATGTACCAACCAGGCTTCTCAGGGCAGTATCTTAGTTAATCCTCACAGCAGCCCTGTGAAGTAATCAACAATCCGAATGTGGACTGTCATGATTACCCCTATTTTAGAAACATAAAACCTGAGGCATGGCATAGGCATGTTACTTGTCCAAGGCCATACAGGGTACCAAGTGGAGTCAGGGTTTGAATCCAGGCAGTCTGACTCAGGATTTAGTATCATGTTATGCTATCATGCTATGTCCTGGGAAAGAGAGATGATTCACCGGCATAAGGCTGCTTACTTTTTCTTGGATACATCATGTACTTTTTGGAGCACATCACTGCTCCCCCATTTGAAGATGCTTATTTCCCACATCTATGCCTTTTGAGGTCCTATTGTTCCTCAAAAGCCCAGGAGGACCACTTCGTTCTTGAATCAAGATATCACCCCTCCCCCATTGGAATCAAACTTCTTACCCTTGAAAAGTTTCACTCACTGAATTCTTCCTTGTCCCATGTAGTTACCTGTTCCTCCTTCACTGGTATTCTTTGTACATTCTTACACGTAATTGACCCTTAAGTTTTACTGACTTGAACTGCATTCAAAGCCTTGATTACTAGGCTGAAGTATGAACTTGATCCGGCAGGTAATCTAGAGTCCTTATCGGTTCTTTAGTGTGGGAATTTTAAGATTAAGGAATGTAAGCACTATGGTGTTCCCTAGAGTTATTTTAGGAAAGCTAAGTTGCTGCATGCCATAAAGTAGAAAAATCATAATGAAGGGAAGAACTTAATATGGTCTTATTTAAAATCTGCCGATAGGAATTTCCTTTTCACCCTCATAGCTGAGCTGGGGGTTTTGTCCCTTGCTGTTCTTTTTGCCCCATTTCTTTTCTTGTGGTTTTGCTTTTTTCTCTACCTTTCTTGCCAATCTGGGCTGCCAAACTCATTCTGGAGGTGACCCCAGACAGGGAAGAGGGAGTGTGACCCCTGAGGTCCTTCATCCCCTTCCATCTGCCATGCAGATGTGGTTTTCATGATTCTCCCCAAAGTTGGTCTTGCTTACAAGTTTCTGTTTTATTTTCTGTCCTTTCAGAGCTCTATTTTTTTTTTTTTTTTTTTTTTTTTTGAGATGGAGTCTTGCTTTGTCACCCAGGCTGGAGTGCAGTGGCGTGATCTCAGCTCACTGTAAGCTCTGCCTCCCAGGTTCATGCCATTCTGCTGCCTCAGCTTCCCCAGCAGCTGGGACTACAGGCACCCGCCACCACGCCTGGCTAATTTTTTTGTATTTTTAGTGGAAACAGGGTTTCACCGTGTTAGCCAGGATGGTCTCGATTTCCTGACCTTGTGATCCGCCCACCTCGGCCTCCCAAAGTGCTGGGATTACAGGCACGAGCCACCATGCCCAGCCTCAGAGCTCTATATTTTTAAGCCCTCTACAAATCTTCTTTCTAGAACCTCTGCTCCAGACTTTTTAAGGCAGTAACCCCCAAACGGGATGACACGTATGGAAGAAAGGAAGCTTTCTGCATGTCCATTTCCTGATCTCAACCCTATGATTACTGCCCCTTTAGATATAGTAGCCAGAACTTCCCTTATCATAGCTTCATACGGTGCATTTTGCTTGCTTCTCACCTTCATTAGGACCTGCTCTCCATGAGGGTAGAATACAACCCTACCTTTCTTACTGTCAGTGCAGTGCCTGCATCTGTACATGTTTGCTGAATGCTGACCGAATTTTCTTGGCTTCAGAGCTAAGTATGTGAGAATTAAATGGGATTTTCTTTAATTGATCCAGAAACTGCTTAGCCAGCATGTGTATTATGTTTAACATTTGCTTCCATTGGAAAAAGAAAAAGAAGGCCATTACTGGGCATCAGTCATGTGTGCCTTGACACCTTTTAAATGTTTCATTTAATCATCTCAATAACCCTGCAAAGTAGGTGTATTATCCCATTTTTACCAGTGAAGTACATGAGATTTGAAAGTTATGTAACCTGCCCCAGGCTGGTGAAATGCCTACACCACAACTGTAATTTATCTGATGTTAAAGTTTTTTGAAATACGACAGGCTTGCGTTTGAGGACTGCCTTATGTATAGTTAAGAGACCACATTTTGACTTATTTGGACTTTGCTGTGTCTTTAGAATTTTAGAGCCACTGGGAACTGAAATGTCTTTTGGTCTATAAAGATAAAATCATCCTTGAAACCATTTTGAGGAAAGGTGGTATTACATGTTTATTGAAACTTACCAGAACTGAAATGTAGAGTTTGAAATCTTCCAAGTAGGGCAGTAAGGAGCTACCAGCAATTTAAAAATGGAGTGTGATATAATAGCGTGTTCTATAACTAAAGTTCTGGCAGCTGTGTGGACAATGAACAAAATAAGGGCTGGAGGCAAGAGAACCACTTAGGAGGGGTAACCACAGGAGTTTAGGAGAGATCATGGCCTGAACCAAGATGATAACACAAGGGAAGGTGGCAAAGATGGGATGATTCAAGATGGATTGTGGACTTGACAGAACCTTGTAAAATGCAAATGTGTATGGTGGAGAGTAGGGGTACAGGGATTGTTGTGTGGCATTCGACTGGGGAACAGTTAGGGGAAAGAAGGAGAAAGAGGCCCCAAAAGAATCCAATGTTTCTAACTTGGGCACCTGATGAGCTATTGATGCAATTAACCAAAATATGAGAAACAAGAGGCGCAAGAACAGGTTTAGGAGGAAGATAATGAGTTCAATTTTTGAATTGTTGGACTTAGACATCGGAGGCATGGCAGTGAATGAGGTTGCTCACAAAAGCATGTAGTCGAAGAGGTTGGAGACTAAGGAACAAATAACACAATGAAAAGAAGAGAAAAAAGAGGAACATGCTAATGAACTGAGAAGTGGCAAGAGACATGGGAAAAAAGGCTGCAGAAAGCAAGATAATAGGTGACTTTCGAAGACTGTTTCCTAGAAAGCAAGAATAGTGGGCAGTGCCTGAAGGGTTGAAGACTCAAGATGTTATTTGGTAGGTAGAAGATAATCTTGGAATGGGATGAGGACAGTGGTGGGCGTATTATAGAAACACTACCTGCCACAGTGGGATGAAGGAAGGAGAGATGGAGAAGGATTTAGAGAGGAAGACCAAGATTTGAGGGCTACTCACTTCATTTTCTCATTCCAGTAAGACTCAGAAAGAAAGACACTAAAGAACTATATGTACACAGATTCAAAGATTATAGATTTCCTCTGATATTCCTGATTTTACAGTCCAGATTTACTTTAAGGTTAACTTTATCAACTAAGTAGGCTTTCCTTAACACATTTGTCTAATAGGAAAAATTCGAGAAGTGTAGCTTTTCGATTTGTTGTTAAGATTGGCCCTGTTTTTTTTTTTTTAATTAAATTCTATCTATGTTGACATGAAAATCTTAATTCAACAAATTTAGCAGAAATAAGAGTTACCATTGGGACTCCAGAACCTCCTCATGTTTTTGTTTAAAAATGTAGAGTCTTGTACTTCTGTTTCATCAGTCTGACAGTTGTTGGGGCAATCTGAACTTTCAGTGGATACGTCTGCTCAAGTTATACCTAATTTGAGGGAAATTTTTTATCTTATATGCTGAGATGATAGTAGACAACTGCCTTATCTTTTCTGGCATGAACAACTGAAACCACTTGGATGGTTCATTATCAGTCTTCAGGAATCTAGGTTTCCCCCAATAATTTGTATTCCTGTTCCATCCAGTTCAAAGATGATTCTGTCATCATTATCTTCTGAAGCTTGGATTCTTTGTAGGATACTCACTTGGCATATACCTTGCAAGGAAAAATAAGGAAGTTGAAATCCTTCCTGAAATCACTGTTGAACAATTTATACTTGAATGTAATTATAGATATGTTCACTTGCAAGAAGTTTCAGGAATAATTTGCTATAAGAACTGGGGGTTGGACATAGATGCCTCGAGACTGCCGTGAGGGGAAGGCTACACAAGTGGGGCTCTGAAACTCTTACTTTGAAACCACAGCCACCCACTTTAATCCTTTCTGTATAGTGGTTTGGAAAGAGGTGGTCTGCGTAAGACTTTGATTTGAAAGTAGGCTACTTAAAACCAAAATTAAAAAGCAGTATTTTTATGAAAGAGAAGGCTTTACCAGGCCCAGTGACATGCCTGTGGTCACCTGGTTAATGACAAATATGCACCTGTAATTGCCCATGTGGTCCTCTCCTCTTTGCCTGCATTGTGTCTCAAGGACTGACACAACACTTTGCCTGGCTGTAGCCACAGGGACGCTGTCCTTCCTGTTAACTCTTTCAAAGAGGAGGAGGTTATCTGCCCTTTTATTAATATTTAAGATGTTTAAATAGTGATTTCTTTATTTCTGAGGTAAGTACAATCCTTCATGAGATAGTATTTCCAATCTAATATAACAGTGAGACATTTTCCTCTAGGGCTTAAGCTCATTCTCTGTGATCCTATATTTGGTAGAAAAGGATAATGTTCACTTGCCATCTCCAACAACATATTCTTTATGTAGTTTGAGAGTGTTTATTAAGACTCCATCCTGTCTTTTATTCTTCAAGCTATAAATCATCAGTGTTTTGAATGTGTAACCCATGATTTGTCTCTTTGTCTGTCTTCCTTATATAGCAAATAGATTCTGCACTTTAATTGGCTCTAAGTCAGATTTTTTTTTGTAAGTGTGGTGAAGATGACCACTCATTTTCACCGAGTCATCTCTAACTTAAGTGTATGGTGGTTTTGGCTGAGGAGTAGAACCAACCAGTAGTTTTTGCTATTCTTAGCAGAATTTTATTATATTCTTCAGATTGGCATTCATGAGGTGGCTATTAACGAGTGTTATGACTACATCTGCATTTCCATGTTTAAACTGCTTTACAAAGAGCTTTCTGCTGAAAGCTAAAAATCCCATACCCACTGAAAAATCAACAATTAGTTTTTGAGAGCAAGAATCATCCCTAATTTATCTTTATTTCCCAAAGTGCTAAGTATTGTGTTTTTTTTATACAGAGTAAACAATAAATGTATGTCAAATGGTTGAATGAGTGAAATGTCGTAATACTTCTGCTTGTCCATATAGTGTAGTGAATTCTTGATCCTTTGTTTATTCAGTGCCTTCCTTCAAATTCTTGTGTACTTAGTCCATTTAATGTTACTATAACAGAATACCTGAGACTGAGTAATTTATAAAGAAAAGAGGAGGTTTAGTTGGCTCATGGTTCTGGTGGCTGGAAAGTCCAAGAGCATGGCACCAACATCTGCTTGGCTTCAGGTGAGCACCATGTGCTGTGTCACAACATGGTGGAAAAGCAGATAGGCAAATGGTGTGTGCAGAGACCCAACACAAGGCAACCTCACTTTATAACAACCTGCTCTTGTGGTAACTAATTCAGTCCTGCTAGAGTGAGAACTTACTCCCATGAGACTGCGTTCATTCCTTCATGAGGGCAGTCCTTCATGACCCAAACACCTGTTAAAGGTAACACTTTCCAGCACTACCACATTGGCAATTAAATTTTAACATGAGTTTTGGTGGCGACAAATCACATCCACACCATAGTACGTACTATCCTAATATTTCTCAGAATATTGCTACTTGTTTTATGGGTAAAAAACCTTAGGCAGAAAGCTTTATGAATTGCCCAGTTGGTTCCTGGGTTAGGTTTAACTGCCAAGTTAAAATGGAGAATTGGTAGGTCTTTTCCTGGAAAGTAAAAACAGGTTTAGGAAGAATTGTAACAGGTAAGTCTAAGTTTTTTTGTGATTAGGAAACAAAGCTGAAACACTGGTCTCATAAGTTCATATTAAAATCTATTTGTTGCTTCCTCAAAACAAAATATGTAAATTACAAGAGAAATTAAGGTTTGCACAGACATAGTATACTATAAAACTTGAAACATTTGGTTTAGAAAATAATTTAAGTTCCCTGGAATTTAGGATTTGTAGTGTAGTATAGTGATAGCAATGGGAATAATTATACCTTTAGTCCAAGAGGTTATTTGGGGGCTTATGAGCTGATGTTATTTTGAAGAAGTCATGGACTGTAGCTCAGAATGTGTCAATAGGGACACTCTTGGTATCTTAGGGAGTAATTCCTTACAGGTGACATAGTTCTGCATTTTGCAGCATGTATAGCAGCTATGCCTTTAACACTAAATCTTCATGTGGCATTTGGGCAAGCAAAATACCTTGCCGAACTTCACATGCCCACGAGGGAGTGGTACCAGTCCTAGATGGATGCCACTGGAGGCTAAATTATGTGTCTGTGAACCACTTGAAGTTATTCAGAAAATATGCCAAGTATTGGGAGTAGGTTTTTAAAAGTATGGTGGTCCTTTTCAAATGAATAATTTAAATCACTGTACTTTATTCCTGGGCAGTGAATAAATGGTGTGGCCTGTAAGTTAGACTCAGTTGTACAGTGGGCAGAAACCTAAGCTTATCCATGGCCAACCAATTTAAAGTATTAATATGAAGAAAAACATGTAATAACAATAAGATTTTCCTTATTTTAGCAGAAAAATAATAAACTCGGTGCTATTTATATAAATGAAAGTTTTACCAACCCAAGGAAGAAAGAATGAAGCTTCTAGTTTATCATGAAATGATTCAAGTATACCTAGCGTGCAGCCTCCCTCCTTTCATGGATAGACTTTCCTCCATGTGGGTGCCAGAGACACTGGATACCAGGTTTCATGTTTTGTTTTCAGGATCAGTTCAGTGATATGAGAATCAGCATAAACCAGACGCCTGGGAAGAGTCTTGACTTTGGGTTTACAATAAAATGGGATATTCCTGGGATCTTCGTAGCATCAGTTGAAGCAGGTAAATGATATATTTAGCTCTACTGAATTTTCTTCTCCTTTTTCATCTTTCATTGTGGGGTTGGGGACCACAGAAATTAGCGTATTTGATATAGGAGAAGAAAACCTGTGAAAAATGCAACCATAAGGCCAGAAAATACATCCTCTTTCCTGAGATTATTGGGGTTCCAAATTCCATATTGTTTATTCTCCTTGAGTAATTAATTTTAGTTTTGAAAGTCTTTGTGATTTTACAGATTTTGTCCATTTTGGACTTTATATTTGGAAATGCTAACAAACAGCACTTAAGTAAAGATTCAGAAAGAACTTTCCACGATCAGCCATGCTTTGTAGTAAATGTATATGTGCTATTTAATAAGTTGATTTCTTTTGAGTGTTCTAATATTGCCCATGAAGTCTTCAGGATGCTTCAGGACTTCTGTAAAAGGATTACCCCTCCCCGATCCAGGTCTATACCTGTCAAGCTCGGGAACTTCCTTCAAAACATTACAAAGCCTAAAATTAAAAAGAGGAGCTCCTTTATTTTTACTTTTATTTTTTATTTTTTACATATTTTAGCTATATAAAATTGCATGTTAACACCAGTTAGTTCTTTTACATCTTAAGATTGCCTTAATTAGATAATGGTATTTTAGTTATGGAGTAATTTTAAGCAGTTTTAAATAGCTGTGTTATCTTCTGCTCCATTCCAGAATGTATCTGATTTGGAGGCTCAATTAAAATGCAGTATATTTCATATTTCAAATTTAAGAGTAACTTAAATTTTTTGTCCTTGGGAGGTTAATAAAGAGGTCTTATTGAATACATTAGTTTATCATTTTTCCTTTAATGAAGATGCATTCTGTAGAACTTCAAAAAACACCTCTAATGCTTTGTATGTTGTACTCAGATATTTGATATTAAAAAAATAGTGACCCTTCTCCACCTGAAAAAGAGAGAAATGGTTAATTAAAATTCAGAGTCATTTTTCTTAAGCTCAAAGCAGCAACTAATAGAACATGTGGGATTTTTGCCCCAATTGATTAATTTAGTTTGTATTTTTAGGTAGCCCAGCAGAATTTTCTCAGCTACAAGTAGATGATGAAATTATTGCTATTAACAACACCAAGTTTTCATATAAGGATTCAAAAGAGTGGGAGGAAGCCATGGCTAAGGCTCAAGAAACTGGACACCTAGTGATGGATGTGAGGCGCTATGGAAAGGCTGGTGAGTTTGTGTTACCACCATGTCTGGCATTTGGAATTGGGACCTGGCCCTTGGCAAGTGGTTCTAACAATTTGCTTTAATAACTTTTTATTTTTTCACTTTACGTATGTTTTGGCATTAAAGGTATTTTGTAGTTACATCGTGACAAATCTTGAACCCTACTCCTTTGAATATTCTGTCTGGACTTTTCACTAGCAAATTTACTGAATTCTACAGTATTTATTGACTGTTTCATGTACTGGTTTGATTGAATGCAAATATCAATTGAAGACAAATGTATCTGCATCCAGGAGTTATTTATAATAATACTGAGTATTAAGAACTATGCTATGATTAAACTTTATCTGCAGCATCATAACCATATTGGTATAAGAGAGAGAGCTTGGTAGGTCATATTCCTGTTTATTCTCAAAGAACTTTCAATGTATATTCCATTAATGTGTTTCTTAATTATAGAGGCTAGATGGGAAAGGGCATTAAGCCTCCACAGACCTACCAACTTATGATATCAAAATAAAATATCTGTCCTGGTTTATGGGAAAGATTCAGCAAATTTGCTAGTTTTTTCATTACTAACGTGATTTAACTCTTGTGTTTTGGGAAGGTGGTCTGTTGGTAAAAAGCCCTAAACTCTTGATTTATTTCACATACTGCCTGATTTGTTTGTCTTGTATATGTAGATTTTTTTTATATATGTGCATTCAATGACTTTATTCTTTCCACTTCAACATCTATGTGTACTCATTTGATCTTCATGTGCCAATCAGACTGGGGCAAAGACCAACCTTCCCTGCCATTTATACGGCATAAAACCCTCAATCTCACCAGTATGGCTACCAAAATTATAGGTTCACCTGAGACAAAGTGGATTGATGCAACTTCTGGAATTTACAACTCAGAAAAATCTTCAAATCTATCTATAACAACCGATTTCTCCGAAAGCCTTCAGAGTTCTGTGAGTATTTGGAGAAGTAGGAAGTACTGGTGTGGAGCAAAGCAGTTGTTAGAATTGTGTATGGAAGAAAATAATTTCTTTCGTTTGTACAATTTTGATACTACCTGTAAAATGTAAATGATTGAATAACGTAAATTATAGTAAAGAGATACAGTAAAATAGATTTTTGAAAATCATAGGCATTCCTCATAGAGTAGTTGTGAGTTATATAATGGTAAAATCAGGTAAAATCAAAAGATCCCAGAATGTTGTTTTGCAGGTGTTTTCCACCAATCTTTCAGTATTAGACCCACCTCTCAGATGTTTGTGAGCGTGAAGTAGCAATTACATAAAATTATAAACTATGACTTCTTTATGTGTTCCCTAGTCTTTACTGGCAAATAAATGTAATAGTGGGGTGTAATGGAAAACTTCATGAAGCGTTTTTAGTTTTTGTGTAGGTGAATTTGGTGGGTAGACTTACATATGTGGTTAAGAGATAATCAGTTTCATTAATTTGATCAAAAGTGTAATGTAGAAAAATTTTTAAGTGTCAAAGCAGTACTTTTTCCTATAGACTTTGAAGTAATGTGGTTTCTATTTATGATACAAATTGTTCATCTAAATTAATAATTAAATTTAAATTTCAACTAAATATTATGCACTTATACTCCTTAGATTGTGCTATTATCATCTCAAGGTAACTCCTTTTATTTAATAAGGAGATCTTACTATATTGTGTAAGAAATGTTTAAATGTTTGAGAATCCTATATGACAGTTTTGTGTACTCATAAATATAAGCCAAATGGACTAATGATTATCTGGCTGATTTTATTTATTGGAAAATTAACGATTGATTAAACTTAAAATCATCCATGCCTGCAGCTGGTCATTAATTCTGCCACAAATATTGAAATATAATGAAAAAACTTAAGTTTCTACCACATGTAAAAGGCTGTAAGGAATGCATCAATATCCCGAGAAACTCATCTTGTTAAAATATATATTTCAGTAATGTGAAATGCATTATTTAAGTCCAAAGTTCAACTGGAGAGAATATTAACTAGCATTTTTACCCTTTCCAGAATATTGAATCCAAAGAAATCAATGGAATTCATGATGAAAGCAATGCTTTTGAATCAAAAGGTAAATATCACCATTATAACTCACATTATACAGGAAAAGACATAGCACTCAAGTTCTGCTGTTATAAAAATTAGTATCTATGAGTGAAAGAAAAACTGGTCTACTGCAAGTTGAAACTAAAAGGTTAGCACGCAGATCCAATTGCAGCCAGGTGGAAGGGCATTCAGTTCCCGTGCTGAATTGTTCAGGCACTGCAAACAAAACTTTGGCAGCATGTTCCGGAACTCTGAGTGCCTGCATGCCTAAGTCAAATAAGAAAGACTGGTTCTTCCCGAGTCAGCTTTCTTGCTATGGTATGCTGGCAAAGGGAATCTTAGTTAAGCTTGGAACTATGAATGAAGTTTCCTTTCTTTCTTCTTGTTGTGAAAGGGACAACCTTGGAGGCAGTTAGCTGTAAGAGGGAAATGCCAGTGGCAATAAAGTCATTAGCAGATGTACCCATTTGTAATGAAAAAGAAGGCAAAATATCTAGAGAAATTTTGGAGTTATCTCCATGTTTCTTCTTCAGCCTATCCAGAAATAATTTAGCTACCATACATCGTGTGCTATTCCTTGGGCACAGAAAAATAAGAATAGATCCGGTCATGTAGGCAGGGGAAGAAACCCAAAGAAGATGAGACTTCTTCTACCGTGAACCTAGACTGCCAAGAATGGGACTGGGTTTTCACAGTGCTTTGGTGGCTTTAACTCTACATTTGACAGTTTATAATACATTATCTTAAAGCCAACCTAAATATATAAGTTTCTCTTTCCTTATCAATTATTTAACTTTGTATTTCATTTCTGATAGATAGAAGTGACTAGATTTTGTTTTCAGTTGCATTCTTTATCAAAAGAGTTTTTAAAGCAAACTTTGCTTATTTTTCTCCATGATGTTACATGTAAAGCACCAGGTCCTATTCTGCAGTGAGTCAGGTGAGATAGCTGATCAGACATCTAGCTCTTCTATAACTAGGGAACTATACATGGGCCCTGTCATTGGAAGGTTTTGTTTAGATAAGTGAGCACTAACTAGTATCAAGTAATAATCATATGTAGATTTTATGCCATAGTCTTGTGACAGATCTGTGGGAGAAATCAGAATGTTTTCCTTTTGTTTTCTTGGTAGAACTCTATTTGCTTTACTTAATATTAGTAGCTACCAGATCTTGAAAACTAGGTCAAAAAATTCTAGTTAGAAGATGGTTGTAACTTTAGTGTTTGGTTTTCTTTGATCTTTCTTTGGGTATCATTTTTTTTTTTGTTTTCTTCCCCATTACTTTTAACTTCTTATTCGTAAGTATTGTGAAAACTGTTTGTTATAGACAGTTTTCCATGTAGTAGACAAGATTATGGATTGTTTAACTAAAGCAAAAAATATTAATTTCCTTTTCCCTAAAACGGCGTGATCTAGCATGGAAGATGATACTTGGCTTTTCATAGCTGTGAAACTCTGATGCTATATGCTAAAGTTTATTAATAAAAATATTTGTTCCTTCTACTAATTTGAATGTAGTGTAGGCTACTAAAATTGTGTGTCCCTGTGCCTTGAGATAATCTGTATTTTCTACGGCTATCAGTTTTGTGATCTTTTAAAATAAGATTGCACAGATTGGAAAGCTATATCAAGTATCGTTTGATTTACCAGTGGTGAGAAATAAAAATGAATGACATAGTGTTTATTTTTTTTTCAACTAGCATCTGAATCCATTTCTTTGAAAAACTTAAAAAGGCGATCACAATTTTTTGAACAAGGTAAACCACAAAGCTAACAATTCATGCACTTTCATGGAATTGTTCTCCCTCTCCACTCTTCCTCACGGTCTGTGGTGCTGGGCACTGAGCCTCTTCAATTTGTCTGTCATTATGACCAAGCAACATAACCCATTTCCATTCTTTCCCTAGGGTCATCAGGCTTTTCTTACAGTTCATGGGTCTACCTCTGTGGTAATGGGTCTCTGTGTGTCCTTTGTATACCTCTATAAAGGTTTTACTTTTTTTTTTTTAACTTTGTAAAAAAAAAAAAAAAAAAAAAGAGGGGTAGATGCTCTTAAACACACACTTGTTTCCACTGGATAACAGTAAGAAATGAGGAATTTCATTTAAGCCTTACTGCTTCCTACAAATTGCATAATGTTAGATTACACCAACATGCAATTGGCCAAGTTTTTACAAACTCTGACTTGTTTTTGGTTGTGGAAAACACTCTTAATAAAGAAGAGTTATTTTTGCTATGGTATGGTGGCTTTGGAGTGTTGATTTGCCTGCTCTGTTGACTTTGAAGTAAATTCAAAGTAAATACATTTTGGTTGCATCTGAAAACGTGCATTTTGAGATTCTCCGTGTTGGTGTACTTGGGCAGGGCCTCACAATGTGCTGTGCATGTGACATTTGCTCCTGTGCCACGTTTGCCTAATGCTCTGTCACATGAATGCTGTACAAGCTCTGTTTTGCTACTAAGAACTTAAAAGTAATAGTCAACATTTGAGATGCGGTGGTCAAAGGATATTGTGCTGTTGCCATCTAAAATGTTACTGTTTCTTACTTTTAAGATTATTAACATGTTTGCAAATGTGCCTTATAACACAGTGCTTACCGGGTTTGTGTATTTTGTGTTAATCACCTAATGTCTTTCCTTTGGATGAAAGTCTGTTTTTGACCATAAACAGAAATACCTTACCAACCATGCAAGTCTATTTGTGTCAGTATCCTTAGTGTTTTTGATTTATATTTTAAAATAAAATTCCTATTTTTTCTATGGCTATTTAATTGAAACAGTATGATACTCCTTCCTAAAACTGGCTAAAATAAAGCAATTCCTTTTCCTTCTCTGTTCTAATTTTCTCCCATTTTTCTTCAACAGGCTATTGTAGGGAAGAATATTTTTCTAGGTTTCAAAGCAATTTTCTGTAAAAAATTGTATGTGAATAATTTGACAGCTGAGGTTTTAAGAACGTTTAAAAGTACTGTATAAGAGTGTATTTTCTGAAGTTTTACTTTTTAAATAATCATTGTTCTAGTAAAGGTATACTTATGTAGGTCCCCTAAGAATAAAAAGAATAAGACTGTACCCATAAGTTTACATATGAAGTTTGAATACGTGTGTTTCAAATAATAGAAGTAGAAAAAGGAAACGTTTCTTGAACATGTTTGTTGCGGCGACTTGCTTATGAAAGTGGCTCATTAGTAAGACGACTTGAAAAATGTGACTTGCAGCTGTCATGTTGTAATTGAGTAGTGGCAAGTAAAAAATTGGGATTTGGTAGATGTAACATTTGAAATTCCTTTTTTTTTTTTGGCCTGTTAGGCAAAACTATGAGATGCTGTCCAATTTATTAGTAAAGGAACTCTGAGGTTTCTTCAGAACTATCCATTGATCCTACTCTAATACCTACAGCTAGGGTTTATTTTGGCATCTATATCTTCCTTTTACTAACTTTGAATTTGAAACATGAGTAACAGATGGAACTGTTACACCTGGAGAAAAAAGGATTTACTGACTATTGTTTAAAAAAACGTTGTCACTTAGTATACTGGCATAGAGACAGCTAATGATAGAAGTTTCTGAAAGGAATTATTTCATAGAAATGAAGACTTATATTGTATATTTTTCTTCCTTGCCCATGTGCTGCAACACAGGAAGCTCTGATTCGGTGGTTCCTGATGTAAGTAGCATTCATTTGTCATTTTGAATAAGGCGAACTTGGTGGGACTGAATTAGCACACAGTAGCGTGCTTACCATGATTTTAGGTTGCATAAGAATTTATCAGAGAGTTATCCTTCCAAGTTGAAAAACTTATTTTAAAATTCAGAGCCAAGCCAGCTCTCCCTTGGTACAGTTTAAGCAAACTGTGATATGAATAATTTATGTGTGCAAAAGTGGTTCAGTAGATGACTTAATGAAGTTATGTTCTCTATTTGCATCTCTTCTCTGATAACTGGTTAGCTTCCAGTTCCAACCATCAGTGCCCCGAGTCGCTGGGTGTGGGATCAAGAGGAGGAGCGGAAGCGGCAGGAGAGGTGGCAGAAGGAGCAGGACCGCCTACTGCAGGTAGCTCTGGCTCACGTGGACGGGTAGGAACTAGGTTGGATTTCATGGCTTTTCTCCAGTCTGGGTCAACCAGTATTGAGAAACTAACTTTAAACTCAACAGTTTCACAACAACAAATATTTTTGTCCGTAGTATATTTTCCATAAAACAATTAGTTTTCCATTTTGAAGATTTCCAGAGTCATCCTTTAAAAATCATTATTTATTAACCCCCATGTGTGTTTTTGTAGAGTATGAAGGGCACTCACTTAGCAGGTGTGAAGTGCAAGGACTTTGTGATGACTTGGTTCCCACAAACTGTTGCTAGGTCCATTGCAGAGTCCTTACAGTTTGCTAGAGTCTTTAATGAATTACAGCCGTGGTAAAGGGTGGATGGGGGTTTAATTCTCAGTGTCTACATTTTTACCCCAGCATCCACATTTTTAATTCAATATATGCTCTTTTCTACTATAGGGACTAAAATCTGATTGGCTTGTGAAAATAAAATCATGGTCTTTAAAGGTTTGAGGTTGAAGGTTTAGAGATCATAGAAGTGTTAATAAAGAAGATTCCTAATGTGAAGAGTTAATCTATTGGATTAATGTGTGTCATATTTTCTTATAGGAAAAATATCAACGTGAGCAGGAGAAACTGAGGGAAGAGTGGCAAAGGGCCAAACAGGAGGCAGAGAGAGAGAATTCCAAGTACTTGGATGAGGTAGTGTTAGAACATGCCTGTATAGTTTTTCTTCTCTTTACCTTGTTGGTGAGATTAGCTGAGAAGCAGGAGACACTTCATTTTTCTCCACCTTTGACCATATGTTCACCTATGTAGCTCTTTGAAAAATACAATGAGCTCTGATTTGTTAGAATTTTGCTTGGATGTTTCAGCTTTTCTCCTAGTTTTTGTAGTACATCATTAACAAATTATGTTAATAGAACTTCAGTGCATCTTCCTCTTCTAAGTTACATCTCAGTAACTCATGTGTAGCTTTTTTAGTGGTAGAACTCTTAACATGTTTTTTTGAGTGGAGTCCTGGGCCAACTATAGTTAGTAGCATCTAAAACTGAATATATATGTGTCTATATGAAATTACAGAAATAAACAGATTTAGATGGATTTCTTTTTTCACTGGTCACCTAGGAACTGATGGTCCTAAGCTCAAACAGCATGCCTGTGACCACACGGGAGCCCTCTCTTGCCACCTGGGAAGCTACCTGGAGTGAAGGGTCCAAGTCTTCAGACAGGGAAGGAACCCGAGCAGGAGAAGAGGACAGGAGACAGCCACAAGAGGAAGTTGTTCATGAGGACCAAGGAAAGAAGCCGCAGGATCAGCTTGTTATTGAGAGAGAGAGGAAACGGGAGCAAGAGCTTCAGGAAGAGCAAGAGCAGAAGCGGCTTCAGGCTGAGACTGAGGAGCAGAAGCGCCCTGTGGAGAAGCAGAAGCACCAGGCAGAGATAGAGCGGGAAACGTCAGTCAGAATATACCAGTACAGGAGGTTTGTCCCCACAGCCAGAGAGCACAGAGGCTGTTAGAGTAGCTTGGCTCAGCTGTATCCATTCCCCACTTCAAAGGCACCCCCTTGCTCTTCCTGTTTCCTACCACCCATTCTCCACACAAGTGAATACAAGCCACCAAAGAGAACCTTTAAATCATAAACCCTGCCATGTCATCTTGCTTCCCCACCCAGAACCCTCCAAGTCAATTCGTGTCACATCAGAACCCCATCCAGCATCCTTGCCAAGGCTTAGAAGGCTGCCATGAGCTACATTACCTTGTAGTACCTCCACTCTTCCCCTTACCCACTCTGTTCCAGCCACACTGGCCTCCTGTTTCTTCCTTGAAAATACCCATGGACTTGTGTATTTTCTAGTCCGTCTGCTTGGAGAAGTCACTGAATGTTTGTGTGTCTTGTGTTCTCATTTTCTTCTAGTCTCTGCTCACACATCACCTCCTTGGACTTTCTAGAATACCCAATTTAAAATACAGGCCCCTTCTCAGTCCTTCTCTCTGTGTACTCTTAACTTATTTTATATTATGCATTTATTTGTTTATCTGTTGGCCTGCCTGCTGCAGTAAGATGTAAGTGCTATAAAGTCAGTAAGTTTGTTTTGTGTACTTCTGTAGCCCATTCTTGGAGTGGTACCGGAATATGGTGGGCACTTAATATGTATTTGTAGAATGAATGAGTGAATGAATGGCTTGCAAATGTCTGTTGGCAATAGGGGATCTATTTTCTGTGGTTATTCATTGAAATACCTTTGTATGTTTAGTTTTTAACCCAAAGACCATTTGCATAAAGAGGCTAGAATGACATTATTTTGATACCCCTTTCTTAAACTCAGGGAAGGGCTTAAAGTCTAATATTTTGACTACAAAACAGTTTTCTATCTTTTAGGCCTGTTGATTCCTATGATATACCAAAGAGAGAAGAAGCATCTTCAGGTTTTCTTCCTAATGACAGGTATGTAGAGCATGTTATTGTAATTTAATTGATGATCGTTGGCTTCATATAATATTCCAGGGCTTGCATCGATGATTTGTAGAACTACTTTAGCCCTTTGTCATTTGTGGGATATAAAGAGGAATTGCTGGTTGATCTTTGTATCAGTTAGCTTTTGCTGTGTAACAACTACTCATGAACTTAATGAATTAGCTTATGATTTTATGGGTCAGCATTTTAGGCTGGTCTCAATTGGGCAGCCTTTTAGTTGACTGGGCTCGCTCATATATCTGCTACCTATTAACTAGGTAGCTCTGCTTTTGGGGGTTGGCTGGGGTCAGCTGGGGCAGTGAGAACAACTGGGTCACATATCTTTCAACGTCCACCCAGCCAGGGAGGTCTTATGTGTACATGGTGGTGAGGCGGGGAAAGGGAATTAAAAAGAGGAAATCTGCAAGGCATCTTGAGGTGTAAGTTGTCTAAAGTCACAGTCACAGGTCATGGAGGAGAGAAGAACACTGCCTCTTTATGGCAGGAATCACATTGCAAGGGGAATGGACACGGCTGGGAAAGAACTATGTCAATTTTCTGTAATCCAGCGTAATCTTCATTTTACAAAGGTTGTGAATAATGGCTTAACATTACTCCATACAGTCACAGATCATGGAGAAGAGAAGAACACTGCTTCTTTATGGCAGGAATCACATGGCAAGGGGAATGGGCATGGCTGGGAAAGAACTGTGTCCATTTTCTGTAATCCAATGTAATCTTCATTTTAAAAAGGTTATGAATAATGACTTAACATTACTCCCAAAAGGGACATCTGATATGGGAATAGTGACCTTTCTCTTAGGCAGTTTGGTTAGAACTACTGGTCAGTTTTGGTGAATGAAGATAAAATTCAAGATGTCTGGAAAGTTATATGTATCTTAAAATTTCCTAAAATGTTGTTTTAATGTTTTAAAGTAATTTTTTAAATGTTTTGCAGTTTTGAAATCACTGAGGACTTCTAAACAGTCTGTCAAACCAATGTCGAGGGGAGGGCCATTACCTTGTGTTTTCAGAGCTGAAATGTCTCCTTTTGTCTTATTTATTAGATATAAGGAAAGACTTGTATCTACAAGCAGCCAGGATAACTGAACAGGGCTCAGAATAGAAGGGGAAAAGGAAAGGGACAAGCAGGTAGTAATAGGCTGACAATAAGCTAAAGGAAAATCTGGTGATAGATGACCTTATTTATAATCTCTCTGGGTAACTGTAAATCATTAAAATGTTTATCTCCTTTTAAAAGTTATGGATTTACTTACATATTTACAAAAGCTTTATTTATGTAGCTCATGACCTTGGGGAAAATAACTAAAATGCAGAGAAAGGAAACTTAAGGAAGCCGGGAAAATATGAATACCTACAGGCAGTCCAGATAAAGCATGCCCTAGAGGCATCGAGGAGTGTGGCTAGACATCCGGTAATAAATGTTTTCTTCTATGTAGATACAAGTGAAATTATTCACAAGTGCAGCTGTCTACCACTTATGATACATTATGTATTATAGATTATTGGGTTTATACATATGTAATATGTACATATAGGTACATAAGTGTAATATTACATCTTATAATGTATATTATACATTGTTATTACTACTATTCTCTCTTTCTTTTTTTTTTTTTTTTTGAGACTGAGTCTCACGCTGTCACACAGGCTGGAGTGCAGTGACGCGATCTCAGCTCAATGCAACCTCTGTCTCCTGGGTTCAAGTGATTCTCCCACTTCAGCCTCCCAAGTAACTGCGACCACAGGCACACGCCACCACGTCCAGCTAGTTTTTGTATTTTTGTAGAGATGAGGTTTCACCATGTTGGCCAGGCTGGCTTCAAACTCCTAACCTCAAGTGATTCGCCTGTCTCGGCCTCCCAAAGTGCTGGGATTACAGGAGCGAGCCACCATGCCCAGCTACCACTATTATTTTCAAAGTTCAGTGTGTCTAGCAGAATGGGAATGAGATTAGCATGTGTTGATTTATACACCTAAGTTTTATTGGTACAAAGTTAAGGCGTTTCCAGAAGTTGACTGTGCTGTATGCTTTAGTACCTCTTTGGAACACTAAGATGGCATTTGGTAAATTAATGTTCCACAGTAGTCAGTGGCACCCTAATGCCCAAGAAGTTGACATTATAACCCTGGGCAGTGTGGAGGAGGTGGGACGGACTGACTGTAGGTGATCTGATGGCAGATGCTTTGTAAGCCTGGTAAGATTGAGATCTGGACCAGGGCAAACATTGACAACAATTGATCAATAAATTATAGTCTTCATCATCATACAAACTGGAGAAGTACTGTCACGTGTTTGTATCTATTTCCAGCATTTCACTCTTCTCTTTTTTAGGGATGTCAAGGTTTTCTGTGAGTTTGTGAAAGATGAAAAATTTCTTGGTTGAAAAGTAATTGCTCTCAGCAGATATACAAAATAAATCAACTGCTTTAAAAAGCAATATCTTTGGTGTTTTTACTTCATAAATATAAAAGAGGTTGTTAATGAGACATATTTAATATATTGTGTTCTGTGTTTTAGGAATAAATCCAGATCTACTACTGAACTGGATGATTACTCCACAAATAAAAATGGTAAATGCGATTTTTCCCCCCAAACTCCTTCTTCACAGTTGCTTATTTGTGCTATCATGTTAGGAGAAGTATTTTTAAGGTCAAGATATTTCAGATTCATTAAGACTATTTAATTAAAATACTTAGTATTTTAACCTCTGTATATAAAAACAGCAAAACAACTATCTTGTGTTTATTTTTGGCTTTATATTACAGTGAAAAAATACTGGGAGATTGAAATGGTTTTTAAATTGCTAATGAAATATGTGGGAATTTTGCAAAGCGATGCTGATGCAGCTATGTATAGTAGATTTTATTTTGCAGCTAAAGAAACAGTACAGAAAAGATTTCTACGAAATACTGGAGGACTTAAAAATTGCATAGTAATTTGATTTATGCATGTAAATGCCAAAATGTCAAAAAATCAAAAATTATGATTTCACTAATTATACAAAAACAATTTGGACTTGACATTGTTAGTATTATAAAATATGTTTCTGAAGAATGCATATAGCAGAAATTATGTCACTATGAAAAAAAACCCTAAGTGGTAATTACCATTTTAAGCAGGGTTTGCATATCAGGGTTTGTGTAAGCAGGTGGCTGGTCATCTACATGAATGAATGAAGGTCCAGGTGGGGCTGAGGTCAACATGCCCATCAAGGTGGATAGCCACTGCCCAGCTCCAGCCTATCATTGCCATGCTGGAGAAGGCAAGCCTCTGATTGCCTACTCTTCCTGTTGTAACAGAAAAGTGAAAAAAAAAAATTGTTTTCATGTGTTATCTTTTATGTGCTGACAAGAGATCTTTTTAAAAAACTAAAATACCCTATGAGCAAAACAACCTATCTACAGGCCACATAGCCTGGTGGCAGCTAGTTTGTGACCTCTGGTTAAAGCTTATAGAACTTACAGTTTTTATTGGAATTCACAGTTCTATGATTATCCCTTTCTTTGAGCAGCTAGGACCTTCGTTATCTGGTTCTAGTTTAACTTTCCAGTCAATTTTGCTATTTTTCCCTTAAGGGGTCTTTAACTATAACCACATTATCATCTTTCTCAGTTCCCAATTTGTCACATACTTTCTGATCTGGTTCCTCAGGTCTTACCTTTCCCTATTTGTATTTTCCATTTATTCTCCCTGAACTTGCCTTTAGCCACCATTAAAATTATAGTTTAAGTACTTCAGTATTCCATGAAATATTTTTAACCTGCAGTGATTATATTCTCTCTCCTGAACGTAAACACAAGACCTTTCAGTAACCAAAACTGAATCTCCAGAATAATCTTGTTAATATTTGTGGCTTGTGTCATTAATCGGATTATTTTGTATGTGTGTTTCCCCCCCTTCATTAACTCATTGCAAGCTCTGGGATAGCAGGCAGTGGAAGTTATTAAATATTTGATTTAAAAACTTGCTTATACCAAAACAACACTTTAAAAAGAGGCCAGGCACAGTGGCTCACGTCTGTAATCCCAGCCAGCCTGACCAACATGGTGAAACCCTGACTCTACTAAAAATGCAAAAATTAGCCATGCGTGGTGGCACATGCCTGTAGTCCTAACTACTCAGGAGGCTGAGGCAGGAGAATCGCTTGAACCCGGGAGGCGGAGGTTGCAGTGAGCCGAGATCATGCCACTGCACTCCAGCCTGGGCGACAGAGCAGACTCTGTCAAAAAAGAAAAAAAAAAAAAAAAAAAAAAGCAACATTTATTTAAAGTCTGACCCAATTGATAAGCTTTGTATGTACACAAATGTAAATATAGTTGTATGAGAAACCTTTGGTCTTGCTCATTGCTTACTGGAAGATGAACCAAGGCATAGACAAACAATACATTTTGAAAGAATGGCAGTAGCAATAAATGTGGAGAAAGAAAGAAAATAAATCCTTAGATGAGATTTCCGAATCCAGATTAAGGCAGGAATGATATGTCACCCCCTGATTTGGTCTGATTGTGGGTGTTTTACCCCAATCAGAAACTAATTGCCAAATCCAAGAGACAAAGTCCTTAGGATAAAACCTGACTGACTTGTCACGAATAAATTCAACATTCGAATTATAGTTCTGTCAGTTTCTTAGAGTAGAAGCAAGTCTAATAACATTTATAGATGATTATTTGAATTGCTTGAGTATTTTTCCTGTTCACAAAAGCCATTTCGATGATTGAATGTGCTCATATTCTTACAATTTTGGTTGTAACTTATACCGTGCACACTCGGGTCATGTTAGCCAGAGATATGTACATTTATGTCCTCTCTCCCCAGGGGAGTATACATTTTTTGAGAGAAGAAAACTCCATTTCCTTTTAGAGTTGTTACAGCAAACGTTTGAGCATGTTCTTGATTGATTTAATTTAGGAACGGATGAGTGGAAGAAAAACTATTTCTAGATGAGCACTTTGTAACTGAGTAATACTGAAACCAGTACTGATTGTTGCCTTTTTGGACAGCCTTTTTCGTTTTCCCAAGTGCGTTCTCTGGTGTGGCTCTGACTGTGGAACTGGACTTTCTGGAATAGGAGGCAGTTACTTTATGTTCTCATGAAGTACCCTCATTGAGAATTGACAATGTTAGCACACGTGCACAAAGCCACATTTTAAGCTGCGCTGCCATGGCGATTTATCCCGTCACTTTAAAATTATTTATTTATTTATTTATCGAGGCTGCAATTTCAAATACACTTTATTTTTTTGTTACATCAACTCCATCTGTCTCTCTCTATCATTTTGTATTTGTATTTTTTATTTAAAAAATTTTTTATTTCCATAGGTTTTTGGGGGAACAGGTGGTATTTGGTTACATGAGTAAGTTCTTTAGTGGTGATTTGTGAGATTTTGGTACACCCATCTCTCGAGAAGTATACACTGAGCTGAATTTGTAGTCTTTTATCCCTCACCCCCTTCCAACCCTTTCCCACTGAGTCCACAAAATCCATTGTGTTCTTTTTATTTTTTATTTATTTTTTTTGAGACAGAGTCTCACTTTGTCGCTCAGGCTGGAGTGCAGTGGTGCGAACTCGGCTCACTGCAAGTTCTGCCTCCCGGGTTCACACCATTCTCCTGCCTCAGCCTCCCGAGTAGCTGGAACTACAGGTGCCTGCCACCATGCCCGGCTAATTTTCTGTATTTTTAATAGAGATGGGGTTTCACCGTGTTAGCCAGGATGGTCTCGATCTCCCGACCTTGTGATCCACCTGCCTCGGCCTCCCAAAGTGCTGGGATTTCAGGCGTGAGCCACCACATCTGGCCCATTGTGTCATTTTTATGCTTTGGCATCCCCATAGCCTAGCTCCCACTTATAAGTGAGAACATACGACGTTTGGTTTTCCATTCCTGAGTTACTTCACCTAGAATAATTGTCTCCAATCTCATCCAGCTTGCTGCAAATGCCATTAATTCATTCCTTTTTATGGCTGAGTAGTATTCCGTGTCATATATATATGTGTGTGCGTGTATATGCCATATATATGTGTATATATATGTGTGTGTGTATATATACACACACACATACATTATTTTATATATATAACATTCTCTTTATCCAGTCATTGATTGATGGGCATTTGGGTTGGTTCCACATTTTTGCGTTGCGAATTGTGCTGCTATAAACATGGGTGAGCAAGTATCTTTTTCATATAATGACATCTTTTCCTCCTGGGTGGATACCCAGTAGTGGGACTGCTGAATCAAATGGTAGATCTACTTATAGTTCTTTAAGGAAGCTACACACTATTTTCCATAGTGGTTGTACTAGTTTACATTCCTACCAGCAGTTTAGGAGTGCTCCCTTTTCACTGCATTCACACCATTGTCTATTATTTTTTGAGTTGTTGATTATGGCCATTCTTGCAGGAGTGAGGTGGTATCACATTATGGTTTTGATTTGCATTCCCCTGATCATTAGTGATGTCAGTCATCACTGTCACTTTTAAAATGTGCTAATCCCAAAGCCTTTGACTTGTTTTAATTTAGGAAGCAATAAATATTTAGACCGAATTGGGAACACAACCTCTTCACAGAGGAGTTCCAAGAAAGAGCAAGTACCATCAGGAGCAGAGTTGGAGAGGCAGCAAATCCTTCAGGAAATGAGGAAGAGAACACCCCTTCACAATGACAACAGCTGGATCCGACAGCGCAGTGCCAGTGTCAACAAAGAGCCTGTTAGTCTTCCTGGGATCATGAGAAGGTGCGAGACATCTTAGGAGTTGTTTTCTTGTCTTTACTGTGAGGCAGATATTTAATTTGTAGACATGCTGGTGCTTTGGGCAGAAGAGATGAAAGGAACGTAGAGCGAATGCTCTGGGGCACTATTGTGTGGTAGACAGCCAGTTGCTCAGTTTACATGACCTCATCTAATCTGAGGAAAACATATTGAGGTAGGGATAATAATTCCAGTGTTTTCTTTTTTTTTTTTTTTTTAATATGAGGAAACTTTGGCTCAAGCAGGAAAGACACTGACAGAATCACATGGGTAGTAGGATGGAAATCTGGATGGGGCGTTCTGAAGGGAGGTTCAGATGCTTAAATAATGCACACTGCTCTTAGAACCTTCTTGGCTGCTGAACTTCAACAAACAGAAGTTTCATATTTTTATATTTCTAATGAGATAATGATTAGATTGGAATCATGATAATTGGGTTCACAAAATGATAAACCTAATTTTTATAACTTTAAGGAGATAAAGATATCGATATTAATTGGAAATGAGTGCAGGAACATTTTAAAAGATGTATCTTGGGTAAATGAATGCAGCTGCTCTGATTCAGTATTTTCTTAGCTGACAGACAGACTGGGGAATTTATTTGTAACGTATCACAGAGAAAGAGCTAATTGTGTCAGTATATTAATAACTTTGTAAAAATCAGAAAATTATCCCTACCAACTCTATAAAAAATAGATGTGCGCCTGTAATCCCAGCTACCTGGGAGGCTGAGGCAGGAGAATCACTGGAACCCGTGAGATCACGCCACTGTACTCCAGCCTGGATGACAGAGCAAGAGACTCTGTCTCAAAAAAATAAACAAATAAATAAAAAAAATAGACAAAGGGATATGAACAAGACAGGTCATGGGAAAAAGAAACACAAAGCCAATAAACGTAAAAGATCAACAGTAGTCCTAAAACAATAATGTATCTCTTTTGTTCACTGGATTTGTAAAGAGTTAAAATTGATTAAATTTAGTATTGACAATTGTATATGGAAATAGGAATTCTTCTTTCCACTTGGTTGGACAGGTTTTCAGTATGTATTAAGCAAAAGTTTATATATCTGACCCTCTGAGCAATGTAGTTTCTAGCACTCTATCTTCTGGATATATTTGGATAAATATGCGAAGATATATTCAAGAATGTACACTTACACATTATTCATTAATGGCAAAAGAAAACCAGTGTCTGCTAGTAAGGAGATATTCAGTAGTTATTCGATAAACAGTGGCATACTGATAAGATGGAACACTGCATGACTATTGAAGAATGAAAGAAAAGTGTTGCTACTTAATACGCCACCTCCAAATTTAGTGAGCTAAGACAATAACTCATAATCTCTCACAGTCCTGACGATTGACTGGGCAGTTATTTGCATGATATTGGCTGGGACACTTGAGCAGCTGTAGTCATTTACAGCAGGGACTGGTAAGTCTTTATGTATAAGGACCAGATAGTAAATAATTTAGGGTTTGCAGGTCACATAGATTTCTGTCGCATATATTTTTTTTTTTTAAAGACTCTTCGAAAATGTGAAAAATAGTCTCAGCTCGTGAACTGTGTCTATCTTGGCAGTAGGCTGTAATTTCCTGTCCCTGTAGCTGTAGAGGCTTCCTTGAGAGCTTGGCCAGAGCTACTAGTTGAGGGGCCTGTGTTCTGCATGTAGGCCTCTCCACACAGTTTTTTGGGCTATCCCATGGCATGGGACCTGGATTCAAAGAGGAAAAGCTCGCACCAAGGCAATGCCTTAATAAGCAAGTGCTTATCAAGCTGCCATGTGCATCATGTTTGCTGATGCCCCATTGGCCAAATTAGTCATGTAACTAACCCCAGAGTCAGTGGGAGGAGACTACACAAGGGCGTGGATACCAAAAGGTATGGTTCACTGGAGGCCACTGAAGTACAGTCTATCATATGAGCAGAATGACGATAGTTCTAAGATAATACATAATAAATGGAAATGAAGTTACTGCAAACTGTTGTGGAATAATCCATTTGTTTAAGACTGTTAAACACAAACACATTACCTATGTATATAGACACATCTGTACTTACATATGTAAATTTATATGTGTATGTAAATATGTGCTTGCATATGTGAGAAAAGGTCTGGAACAACACACATTTAATGGTGGTTACCTCTGCGGGTTGGGGCAGGTGAGTCAGGAGAGGAAGGACTTTTCTTCTCCCTCAGATGTGTTTCTCTGCAACTTCAGTCTTTCTCCTTATGATAATGTATCATTTTTATAATGTTAAAATTTAAAAGAAAAATTTCAAGCTTGGGATAAGAAAAAGTTTTGAAAGCAATAAAATTAAATTTGACCAGGTAGACGAATTCTTATAATTTTGAGTTCATTTTTGTAGGTAGTACTAATGTTAGTACACAAATTTTAAGAGAGATTTTGCAAAAGTTGTATTTAAATCCATTTGGGAGCTAAATCTTTAAAAGCATATGTACTTTAAGGGAAATGACTGATAAATGCTTTTATAATGTGGACATTAAACAGCTGCTAAATTTAGGGGTTCAGGTGCTACATAAATGAGATCTTCACAGGAGGCATGATCTGGATTGTTTTAGAGAACTTGGGTTTGAAAGCCAGTTCCACCACCAACTGGCTCTTCCTATGACAAGCTCACTTCTATGAGATTAAAAAAAATCTTAGTGTCGTGAAGATTCAATAATGTTAATATTTTTGTGAAAGTATCTAACCTAATGCTTGTCATACTTAAGCTCTTAAATAATGTATTTCTTTGAATTTTTAGAAGACTTTATATTTGCTGTCTAAACTGTTGAAGATTTAAAGGGTGTCAATCTTCTTAGACTTAGTAGAATATTAGCTCTTATTTTAAAAATATTTTTCTTATTATATTTCTTTCTTTGGTGGTTGGTATTTATTGTTTTACCTGAGCCCCGAGTAAATAAAAATAAACAAAGGTGTTCTCACTTGAAAGTGGGAGCTAAACATTGAGTACATATGGACACAATGAAGGAAACAGTAGACACCAGGGCCAGCTTGAGAGTGGAGGGTGGGAGGTTGAGGATTGAAAAACCACCTCTCTGGTAGTCCGCATATTACCTGGGTGATAAAATAATCTGTACACCAGACCACCATGACACTCAATTGACCCACGTAACAAACCTGCACGTGTATCCCCTAAACCTAAAATAAAAGTTGGAAAGAAAACAGATTTTAAAAAAGAAGGTTGATTGACTATGAAACCTGATGCCACTGATGATGAAAATCAGTTTTACTTGTTAAAGGTAATTTTACAGGTGGTCCTCAACTTTCAGTGGTTTGACTTAAGATTTTTGACTTTACAATGATGTGAAAGTGATAAGCGTTTGTAGAAACTATACCTCGAGTACCCGTATGACCAGTCTGTTGTTTACTTCCAGTAGGATATTCAGTAAATTGTATACTTGATACTTTATTGTAAAATGGGCTTGGTGTTCCTTGATTTTGCCCAGCTGTAGGCTAAGGTAAGTGTTCTGAGCATGACTGAGGTGGATTAGGCTTAGTTACGACGTATGGTGGTTTAGGTGAAATAAAAGCATTTTTGACTTACAATATTTTCAACTTATGATGGGTTTATTGAGACATAACCCCATCATCATACATCAAGGAACATCTGTATATGTAACTAGAATACTGAGATAATACCCACATACAAAATATATAAAATGGATTTTTAATGAATGGAATGATGAATTAAACAGATTTCTAGTTGAACATATCACATTATTTGGACGAGTCTTTTTTGTGTTTCAGAGGCGAATCTTTAGATAACCTGGACTCCCCTCGGTCCAATTCTTGGAGACAGCCCCCTTGGCTCAATCAGCCCACAGGATTCTATGCCTCTTCCTCCGTGCAAGACTTTAGTCGCCCACCACCTCAGCTGGTGTCCACATCAAACCGCGCCTACATGCGGAACCCCTCCTCCAGCGTGCCCCCGCCTTCAGCCGGCCCTGTGAAGACCTCCACCACAGGTGTGGCCACCACACAGTCCCCCACCCCGAGAAGCCATTCCCCTTCAACTTCACAGTCAGGCTCTCAGCTGCGCAACAGGTGAGGCCCTTGCCGTTTCTCTTTCTTCTCTTAGTCTTGGGTATTTTTTCATTAAAATATCCCCCAAATCCTGTCCAAGTTTTCCAATGAAAAAGAAAAAGAAGCCCTTTCAAAGGTGTCAGATTTGGTATTCTAGTATGAAATCAATGAAGGCTTGCTTAATACCTTTCCATGCAACTCTAAGAGCATTTCTGGATGTCTTGTGAAGCCACTGGAGACTGAAGGTGTCTACTTGTTGCCACCGTCTCATTTGCCTGTGCTTGTGGTCAGTGTCTTGGATGTAAGACGTGCCTGAATACTTCTCGGTGTGGAATCATGAAAACATACAGCAGCTCACAAATGCTTCTCAAATTTCTGAGTGGAAGCAGTATTGTCAAATAGCTATTTTCATGACAGTGTCATACAAACTCAAGGAACTGAGTGTAAAAGAAGAGCATTACAGTGCTTTTCCGGGCATGCTCCATCACCTGGGGGACTTCGAACTAGCTGGATTAAAAAAATGTGAAGTCGGATATATCTTGCTTTTGGGGTTTTTGATTGCCAAAATCATTGCTTGGGCGTTCTGTTTGCCCACATTTTGTTCAGGCTACATCAGCTGAATTTGCTAGGGCATATGGTGTGGGAAGTGTATATGTTATGATAGGGTTTTTTTTTTTTTTTTTTTAATGGAGTGAAGCTCAGGTATCAGCCCTGCTTGGGTTTTTAGGTCTGAGTAGCTTCTCCACAGATCTTTCATGCCTCATGTAAGCACATCGGGCAGTGCTGCTCTCCTCACCCCAAGAGAGTGCTGTTGGCATGTACTCCTTTCCATCACAAATGGGATACTTCAAAGTAGAAACACATTGATTAATATTGAGACTTTTTAAAGCTATCAGATAAGAGACTTTCATAAGAAAACATGTTTTATATAAATCCAAAATAATTTTACACGTACCAGGATATAAAGTGTGTATCAATGAGTTTGAATTGAGAGAACGGAGGTGAAGATTTAGGGTAAATTTGGGTACTGTGGGGAGGTGCAGTCTATAGGACGAGAGGAAGCTAGAGGAGGGGGACCCGTTTACTGACTGAGAGACCCATTCTGGGAGAGCAGAGGGATGGACTGAGGGCTTTTGTGACCTAAGAAGGTCCTGATCTAGGAGGTGCCCTCTTAAGCGCTGTGCTCACTCTGTGGGGGTGCAGAGGCGTGGAAGAACGGGTGCCGCCTTACCAACCGGGAGAGGAGAAAAGACCTGTATACAAAAGTGGAGTAGAAATCCTCCTTCCCTCTGTCCATGGCAGCCGTCAGGTACTTTTCGTTTCCTTCCCTGCAGAGACAATCCTCTAAGCCAGAGGCACAGTCAGGAAAGCACTGACATTTCTCTGTAACTAGAAAACTGGGGGACCAAGAAAGAGGGTGAAAACTAAGGCTGAGAAAAATAGGTCACAGAGGACTTGCAAAGCCTCTCGAAGAAAGTTGAGGCCACCCTTCTGGTGTTCTGAGGGGGTAGGAGGACATGATCCACATTGTGTGCTTTGGTTTAACTGGCAAGAAGATGTAGGTGGATGAGATGAGGGGCAGCTATGGCTGAGTACAGATGTGATCAAAGGAGGATAGTATCAGAAATTGCAGGATGGACTAATTACACTGAAATTGCTCATTTATGTGAATCGGTGTCAAGGGTCTCAGAGCTGCCATGGAGATGGTTCAAGGTTAGAGTATAATCAAGGCATTCTTTCGTTGGCTGGTAAAAAGTTATTCTCCCACGGATATATATATATAGAGCTTTTCTTAAATTATTATCAATGTTAATAGCAGAGTGTGACTTTTAAAGAAGAATCTTGAGCTGCCCAGGTGAAAGCCTCCATTCCATTCTTGTTCTGCATCTAGGTCAGTCAGTGGGAAGCGCATATGCTCCTACTGCAATAACATTCTGGGCAAAGGAGCCGCCATGATCATCGAGTCCCTGGGTCTTTGTTATCATTTGCATTGTTTTAAGGTGAGACTGAGACAAACAGCTTGCAGGCCTGTAAAGCTTTGCTTGGAGAGCGCATGGCTTCTTTGAGCCGCTGGGTGTAGATGTGCCACTAACAAGCTAGGTGCTGTATTCGTCAATCTGTGCTGCATTTGAATCACAAATTGCTTGCTTCCCCCTAGTTCTCAAATCTTGAACCTTGTTTTAAAACTTAAATCTGGAAAATTTTTGCATTTTCTATTTCTAATCTGTTAGAATTCTATACATTTACAGTACATAAGTTGCTTTCTCTAAGATGCTGTCAGAGGCATACTTGAAATATATCAATAACCTGCTAGTGTTGTTAAGGTCAGGGACACATGCAATTATCACAGGGTCTGAAAGCCTAGCTTTCAGTAGGAAGAACATGTAAGGAAAACCATTACCATTGTAGCTATTTTTATAATTGCACAGCCTGTTTATACCTGATAGGTTTTTGCACATAAGAAGGAACTAAGGCTTTAATTGTTTGGTTTTGTAATCTCTGTCTCTAAAGACATATCTGTTTGATTCTTGAGCTTGCATTGGGCCAGAGAAAGATTCCGGTTGTTGATCCTGGAGGCCCACAGACCACAGCTTGTTTAAGCTTGTACATTGCTGGCTTGGGCTGTTCCTAGGCAGAGCAGAATGAATCAAGATAATTAGGGTTTGGGCACATAGAATCGAAATATCCAGTCTTGAAGTGAGGCGCTGTGTGGGAACACTTGCTAAACTAGTGCAGCAGGGACACTGGGAGCGACCCACCCCAGGGTGGAGTGCCACGGCCCAGCCTTCATTCACTCTGGCCTGTTCTTTCATGGGGGGCCTTACCTACCATTCCTCTGGCGGGATAAAACTAAATTTCTTTAAGTCAATCAGCAAATGATTTCTATTTTGGGGGAATGTATTTAGACTGGTCATCTCGGCTCTTAATATTGGCTTTATGAATTCTTTAGCATCTTATCTGGCGGGCTTGATTTTAATCTACTAATCATCTTTCAGCCTTTTTTTTTTTTTCTTTGCTGAAATGTATCTAAGAGCTTAGAAGTAGCATTCTGCTCATTTCCCCCGCATCCCGAGGAGTGCCCCAAGCTTTCTTGAGCTCACTGACTTTGGATGTTCTTTTTCTTTGTTCCCCAGTGTGTTGCCTGTGAGTGTGACCTCGGAGGCTCTTCCTCGGGAGCTGAAGTCAGAATCAGAAACCACCAGCTGTACTGCAACGACTGCTATCTCAGACTCAAATGTAAGAGAGCAAATCAGAGAGAAAATTTCTTGCCTTTTAAGGAGACCACGGGTTCCCATGCATTTCCCTGAACCTGCAGCCAGCTCCCCTCCAAGTTCACTGCCGTAGGAGTCCAGGTTTCAAGAATTGTAGTGTGTTCCCCTCAAAGAGTGTATATAGTGAATGGGCCACTGCTCAGGGTTCCAGCTACACAGGAGTGGGTTGTGAGGCCAAGGAATGGAGAGGAACAGAGTCCGAGAGTCAGGGTGGTGTCTTGTATCATCTTCCCAGGGTCCTCAGAGACCCTTAATGGCTCAAGAATACAAAGAAACCAAAACACTTCAATGAATTTTCTATTTAGGCTATAATCTGTTTCTTGACTAAAGATTGGTCTCTCATCAACTTACTTCTATTATTTAACAATGGGCTTTGATTATGTGATTTAGAATATGACCAACGTTAAAAAATATTGTTCTATGTAATACAAAATAAGTCAGTCTGTGCTTTATGTTAATATATAATATGTCAATATATAATTTTTATAGGAAAGTATTAACTATGGTGTTTCAGTGTCATTTTTGGAAAAGAGTTTTTCAAAAAACTTCAAATGCTACTTTGCATCTAAGCATGTGTTTGTGTGTTATAAAAGGCAGGCTAGCATAACTAGGGTGTGTGTTGTGTATAGCTACAGCAAGACAACCTTTACTGCTGTTTATATTTTAAACCTTGATGCTGGTAACGTGTGTTTCTTCCTTATTGTGAAAGGGTGTTACAAGTGGTATCAGCAAAACCATTTGCTTTTGAACTCTGAGGTATTTATATGGCCCCTATGTGAAGAGTGCTTTGGAAATGGTTTAAGCCCAGTCAACTCTCTTTTGTCTGTCGGTGGGTTCTGAGCCTTCCTGCTGCAGCTGTCCAGTCCTTTCCTGGATGCTGGCACTGAGGTTGGAGAAAGTCAAGGCTGGGCATGTACTGGTGGGGGTGTGTGTATGTGCGTGTGTTTTTCTCTCTCTCATCGATTTCCAAAGCCAAATAGAAATGATTTCTGGAATCATCATTTTAAAATTGCCCATGCCTTTTCTCTCCTCCAAGACAAATAATAGAGAGTTGAGTGTAATTTATTTCTATTGTGCGCAGTTCATTTTCATTTTTACTCCATTTTTACAAATAAAGAATTCCAGAGACGAGACACTGAGATTTGCCTAGCTTTATCTTAAGAGTGAGTGACAGGTTATTCTTTCTACCTCACTGGGCCACTTTCTGAGTGATGACTGCTATGTATCCCAGGTGGCAATATTCACGTTTCTGAATCTAAGCACTTTTCTTTCTTCTCTCCTTGCCTGATCAGCTGGACGGCCAACCGCCATGTGATGTAAACCTCCATACGAAAGCACTGTTGCAGATAGAAGAAGAGGCGGTTGCTGCTCGTGTAGATCTATAAATATGTGTTGTATGTCTTTTTTGCCTTTTTTTTTTTAAAGAATAACTTTTTTTGCCTCTTTAGATTGCATAGAAGCATTGTAGTCTTGGTAGAACCAGTATTTTTGTTGTTTATTTATAAGGTAATTGTGTGTGGGGAAAAGTGCAGTATTTACCTGTTGAATTCAGCATCTTGAGAGCACAAGGGAAAAAATAAGAACTTAAGAATATTTTTGAGGCAGATAATGATCTAGTTTGACTTTCTAGTTAGTGGTGTTTTGAAGAGGGTATTTTATTGTTTTTTTAAAAAAGTTCTTAAACGTTATTTGAAATAGTTAATATAAATACATAATTGCATTTGCTCTGTTTATTGTAATGTATTCTAAATTAATGCAGAACCATATGGAAAATTTCATTAAAATCTATCCCCAAATGTGCTTTCTGTATCCTTCCTTCTACCTATGTATTCTGATTTTTAAAAAATGCAGTTAATGTACCATTTATTTGCTTGATGAAGGGAGCTCTATTTTCTTTACCAGAAATGTTGCTAAGTAATTACCAATAGAAAGCTGCTTATTTTCATTAATGAAAAATAACCATGGTTTGTATACTAGAAGTCTTCTCCAGAAACTGGTGAGCCTTTCTGTTCAATTGCATTTGTAAATAAACTTGCTGATGCATTTAAGGAGTGGGCTGTCTTTTTCTTCTGTGTATGTGTCTGACCTCAGGCCTTTTAGTCATATTTCAGTATGTGGCCTTTTTTGATGTTACGTTTTATTCAGTAGCTTTACTAAGATATAACTGATGTAATACACTGCATATATTTAAAGTGTATAATTTGACAAATTTTGACATAGTGTATACCTTCGAGACTATGCCACAGTCTGGATGTGTTTACTGAAACATTTTAATAAGGAACTTTATTTTTGATAAAGTTATGTTTTTGGATACATTTGTATGGTGAGGGTAATGAATTGTTGGATCATTTGAATAAAATCTTTTCTTTTACTACCCCCATGATAAAAGGAGAAGACAACAGTGAGCTTAGAATATCTATAAAGCAAAAAGTGTAGTCTCTTGTTTAAAAAATCTGGAGCGGGAATGCAAGGATACAAAATTTTAACATGCTTTGAGCAAAAATTTAAACTTACTGGAATCTTTTATAATAACATAAGTGGAATGGACATTTCTAGGAACTGAGAACTGTATTGGAATAGGTTTAAAATATATAAGAAATGTTAATGTGGGAGATAAAAATTTTATTTAGTACTTGCTCTGATTATTGTTAAAGTAATAATGCGTTCCTTGAGGATGACTTGTCAAATGCCCCAAAGTATAAAGAATATAATTTTCTGAATCCCAAATTCCAAAGACAAGAGCTCTGTCTTTGAATTCATTCTGCATATAATTATTTATAAGTATGAATTGTAAATTTTTCCATGTTCTTAAAGTTATTTTTACCTTTTTTCGTGGTTGTATAGCGCTCCATTGTTTGGCCTTGGTAATATTTAGTTGATAATTCCATTACTGTGTATTTTTCAGTTGTTTCTAAGATCAAACATTTTAATATGTGCAGGTTATGTATAAATATGTAAATTCTGTGATACTCTATGATCATCTCTTTCTTTATATTATTTTCATAGACATAAAATCGTTGCTCGGAGATTATGCATCTTAAGACACTCATAGTGTATATTGCCAAAGTGGTTTCCAGAAAGGCACTGCTGGCTTCGACTCCTATAAGCAGCACATGGGCTTTGTCCATCTCACTGCATGTTCATGAAGATACATTTCTTTTGCCTTGTTCTCTGCCTGACGTATACGCAGAGGCAGCCCTCAATATGCAGTGGTTGAATAAATGAATGAAGAAACTGATATCAATATCTGCCCTGTTAATTCTGTTTTTCACTGTCCCCAGAGGATGCCTTAATTCTGCCATCATTTTAGTTTCCTTATCCAACATCCTTTCTGACCATTGCTCCTTTTCATCTAAGCCTTTTGTCTTTTCATCTGCTCTTGCTTTCTTATGACTTTTTTTCCCCCATTTCTCACATTATCTTACTTAGTGATAACATTTCTGTTAGTACAAATTATAAGTACAGTTTTCAGAGCTATTTTCTTCTAGGATACTGACTCTACATTTGTGTAAGCCCCTGGGTATTTGTTACTTCACCTAGGAACAAGGGAAGAGTCCAGCCCTTCAACAAATTTTTTTATTCATGCTTGATGCGCCAGGCACTGCTTTCGGCACCATGGGTAGAACAGTGAAGAAATACAAAGTCTTGCCTCTGACTGGTCTTATTTTTCTGATTGAGAGAGGTGATAACACAATACACGAAAAAATAACATGCAGGTAGTGATGACAGCAACAAAGAACAAATACTGGGTAAGAAAGTTGCAAGTGCTGGAAATGGAAGTTTGACAGTGCTTTTTATACAGGTGGTCAGGGACAGCCTTTTGGTATTTGGGCCAAAGCCTGAAGAAATGAAGGAACAGAGACTTGATGGAAAAGCATTCCAGACACAGGGAACAGCAAGTGACAAGTCTTGGCGCCGGAGAGTATCTGGTGTGTCCAGGAAGCAAGCGTGGTTGAGTGGAGTGAGTGTGGAGGGTTTAGGAGCCATGGGGAAGTGGAGGGCACAGAGCAGCAATCGTTGCAGGACACGGGCTGTTACTTTGAATGGAAGAAGACAACACTGGAGAGTTCTGAGCAGAGAAACGAACTGACGGATGTGTTAAAAGGACTGCTACAGACTGCTGTATGAACAAGACTGCAGAAGGACAGGCAAAAGCAGGGAGACCAGTTTGGAGCCTATTGAAATTACCCAGGAAAAAGACATTTACTTCAACAGGGTGGGTGTAGGGGAGGTAGTGAGGAGAGGGAAGATTGTAGTGTGTGTGTGTGTCCTGAAGGTGAAGCTGGTAGAATTTGATCATAGAATGGATGAAGCAAAAGACAGGGCGGAGTCAAAAATGAATCTGAAATGTTGGCCTGAGGAGCTGGAAAAATGGAATTGCCTTTTTCAGAAATGGAGATGGTTACAGGTAAAGCACATTCGGGTAGGGTGATCCGAGATTTGGTTTTTAAGCATAGTGAGGCTGAGCAATCTATCAGATACTTCAGTAGCAGCGTTGAGTAGGCAGCTGGCTATGCAAGGGAGAAGCCCAGGCTGGGGATGTAAATATAGAGTTACCAGTATGTAGATGGAATTTCAGCTGAGAATTGGGGGGACATCACCTGGAATCTGACTGTAGCTAGAGTGGAGGTGATGTCCAAGGACTGAATCCTGAGGCCCTCCAGCAGTAGCGATCAGACATGCAGAAAAGTGAGCAGGAGAGAGAACCAAGACCCTGGTGCCCTGGAAACCAAGTCAAGACCATATTTTAAGGAGGGAGAGACCTGTTGTGTCAAATACTTCCCAGAGATCCAATAGAAATTAGGCCCGAGAGTTGACACTGGAAATCAGTTTGCAATGTGCTTTCCCCCCGATCATACACATGTTTGTGTTTGACATTGTCCTTCTCAAAGGTTCAGTTGGGGGCTCCTCATGTATGTGGTAGCTGGCCCAGTTTTCAGTGCCTCGTAAATGGACCTGATGCTCTTGCCTAGTTTTCCCAGGGAGATGAGCTGAAGGGTAACATAGAAAGCCATCTCTAGGCCACTTACTGTCTGTACCCTTCCCTATAATGTACTAGCAGCCAGAGCTGCACTTCCCAGTGTGTTGTATGTCACCTCAACACACATGTGATCTTTCTCCTCCCTCTGCCCTATAATTTCTGAGGATCGCAGAATATTGTGGAAATAAAGGTTTTGGGGTTGAGGCTACCCTATCTGCCTCAGAGGTGCAGAGCTGGTCAGCTGGGGGCCATTTCTGCTCTGTAATGTTCTGATACAAACCCTAGGTCTTTTAACCAAGAGGCGGGCCAATCTGTCTGATTTCAAGCTACAAACAAGCTTTGTTCTTTAAGTTTTGACACATAGTTCAGCTACGTGGTCGTTGATGGAAATCCCCTCTAGGTTCCAGCCTTAGTTTGCCAGTTTGAAATCTTAGCATTAAGAATTTTTTATTTTCAATGTGTTTATGCTTTGTGGGAAGCATGGAGAAGCTGAATAAAAAATTGCTGTCTAGATGCCATATTAAGGCATAAGCTAGTTTTGTGATTGATTGATTGATTTAGAGATTGCATTTTGTTCTGTCACCCAGGTGATCATGGTTTACCACAGCCTCAATCTCCTGGGCCCATGTAGTCCTCCTGCCTCATCCTCCCAAAGTGCTGGGGTTGTAGACATAAGCTATTGGATCTGACCAAGTTCTTTGTTTTGGGATGTCATAAATATTCCTGAAACCTACATCTCCATATCCTTGACTTACAGGCAGTAGGTTCAGGTGTATTCTTTAGCCGTTCATTTATTCAGTTGATACGTTTGAGAATTACATGTGTGTAGGTAATTAAACCCATCTTTCCTCAGTGCTGAGCCAATAGAGAACCTTTTATAGGAGGGAAGGATGGGAAATACCAGCGTCTTTTCTGCTGGACAACTTCCCACTTGGATTGAGCTTAATGACGGAGCATCGAAGAGAAGGGCCCTTGTCCTCTGTACCTGTGGGCTAACCACATGGAGGACAGAGGACTGCAAGTGGCCTGTGGACAGGCAGCTTTGAAGACAAGGTTAAAGAATAGTTGAGGGTGCAGGCCACATATGAGTGGCCACTTCTAACATTCAGTGTTTCCCAAAGAGGGTAGTGTTTGTCACTCCTCCCTCTATGGGGAGAAATAAGGGAGCAGAGTAGAGAGAAGAATGATTTCTTCTTCCAGTGTTCCTGAGAAAACAACTGTTTCTGGGTTGGCATGAATGTAGAGGAGGAGAGAAGGTGATTTTACCCTCTATGTGAAGGCATGGAATATCTTCAGTGCCAAATTTAGGAAGGAAAGCGGAAAAATTGAATTTGTTCTGCTTAAGAATTTAATCTTAGCATTTTACTTGAAATGTTTATGTAAGACTGAAAACTAGCCAAAAAAGGGTGAAACTCTCTGAATTTCAATGCATAGGCACAGAATGGTAACTACTGCCTGATTGCTAGAGTTGAGAGACATGCCTAATGGGGTGTCTCAGGGTTGAGATTTTACTTGTTTTATTTTGCACTTTAACATCCGTCCTCACAATCTGGAGGAGGGATTAGAAGGCATGCTAATGCAAGTCCCAGTTCATGTCAGTAATTGAAAAACAAAAAACCAAAAAAAAAAAAAAACCCTAATTTGTGCTTAAAGTCCATGGATAGGAGGCAGGAAAACAACTTCCAGATTCTTCTTCATGAAACGTGTGGATACTAGGAGTTTATATGATGAATATAAAACAATCATTGTTCTCACAGGGGGAAGAGAGGCATATACCAAAGTATCCTAGTACATGGTAGAAGAGACACGGCCTGTGAGAGACAGTGTGTGAGGAAGTGGCTTCACAGCAGAGGTGATGTTTAAACTACATTTTTAAGGGCAAATACAATCTTAACAGATCAAGTGGAAGGAGCAAAATATTATTTGAATTAAGATAAACATCCCAGTGGTTCTCTCCTTCCTTTGTACTCCTGCTGAGCCTTACAGAGTTGGCCTGTTTTGCAGAGTCATGAGCAGATCGCTCGAGATACTTTGGGCTGGGATCTCCATTGGCTGGGCTGTGCACTG